GCCACGCTTAATTTAAAAATGCGGAATATCTTTTTCTTTTCATTTATGACGTCATTATCATTAACCAAGTTGAATTACTTAATTCATTTCATAAAACATCGCCTGTATGTAGATTGCAAAAGACAATTAACTGAAATACCTCATAACATAGATGTGAGTATCTAAGTCACGGATCTACAACACGTAGTTCAGACAATATCCTGATACATTATTAATTATAACTAGAAACAACTAAGCATAAAGTCAAGTCAAAGTGGGATGGACAGTCTCCATGCTCACCCAAATAAGGCAACATAGCCAAACAAGGTTTCAACAACAATAGCAATATAATCATAAAGCTAACAACAAGTAGCAACAAGCATAATCCAGCATCCAAGCATAATCATCATATAAACAGTAATATCAGCTAAGCTCCGGCCTCCTGCCGCTAGAGGTCTCAACCCCCGCATTACCTGAACCTGAAATATGTGCCCCAAACGTGGGGAGAGATCTCTAAAAAGAAATCTCAGTAAGGCAAAGGGTCCTCAAGGATCTTCCACCCCAAGCTCACTTACACGAGCAATATAAGTTCAAAAGCATTTAACAGTATAAGTTCCAAAACTATGCAGTGCAACAGATATTCATGCCATGTGTGTTTTAACTATTTTACTGGCCAGAGAAATGCAGGAATACGTCTATTACCTATAGTTAGTACAAGGAACATCGCTTGCACCTCACCCACAGCCTCACCCTCATCTATGTACCACATACTCAGGCTTACCGTATAGGTGGAACACCACATGCATATCATAAAGGCACTCACATATAACAGCTCAACAGCATTTCAACAAATCAATATATCATGAAAACAACATCATGCATATAACCATACCCCATGGGACATGGTGGAACCAACAATGGCTAAACCGAGGACACGAAAGCTTACCTTGCAAGCTAACAATCCAAGCCAAGAGTCCAACCAATCTCAAAGCCCAAACACAGCAGAATCACAATCTGTTTTGGACCAACAATCATATCAAAAACATACTCAACAATTATAAGACACAAGGACAACGTCTTTCCTTTACATTTCATGTCTTAAGGCTTCTCACAAAGCCACAAGCCCTTAATCACTTGATTCTGACTTAGATTAATCATTACAGAAGTCCCACTTCACCAATCTAGGGTCCACAAACCCCAAATACAGTTCTGTATGAACAGTGCAGCTACTGTTCTTCGTAAATCCATAATATCCGAATAGTTGTCGGGGGCATATCCGGATATCTGACTGTCAATATCCGGATATCAATATTCGGATATTCAGAACCTCATATCCGGATATCAATATCGGGATATTTCTAACCCAATATCCGGATATTTCGCAGCAGAACTCAGATTCTGCATTTCGCGAGATATCAATCCAAAGGTCTAACTTTTACCGATTACAGAAGCTTAAACAAGCATTTCTAGGTGTGTTTAAGCTTACCCAACCTTAAGTTGTTAACTTTAGTTCATTACATGCATCAAGATTCCATTTTTAACCAAGGAAACACATGGTCAAGGTAGATGAAGCTTACCAACAACTTAAAACAGATAAAAGAATGCTCTTGGAGCTCACACTTCAACTCCTAGGGTACTGACTCCAAGGTGAACGAAAATGGACCAATAAAGCTTGGTTCTTTCACACCAACAAGGCTTCTAAGAGCATCACCAAGTCATGACAAGGCTCCCTCAACAAAGCTTATGAACTCAGCCCCACAACTCAACAAAACAGAGATGAAATAACCCAGAAAACTGACCTCCACACTCACCACACACTCCACTAAGTGTTTCAAAGGATTAGCTAGAGAAAATCAAGGACACGTGGCAACTTGGTGGCTTTTCTCAAAGGCAAGAAGGCAATGAAGAGGAGGAGGCTTATCTGCAGCTCTAACTCACGTAGAAACAAAGGGAAAATACCCTAGGATCATGTGCCATTAGCTATATATAGTTGCTTAAGTTCTAAACGCATAGTATTAGCATTAATAGCTACCTTAGCATCTTAATCCCAAACTTTGGAATCTGATCCTACTCATTTTTATAAGATCTAACATATTTTTTTTTCGCAGCATATTTATGGTACGCGCTTTTCCATAGTCAGTATCAGTTCTGACATCAGTTCTCATTATTTTCACCTGAAACTTGTTTTACAAGTCCTATATAATATTATAGGAATATTCATGCACTTATTATAATATATCGGGATACTTCATCGGTACGCATTTATACCGAGTAACATAGCCGGTATCTGCACTTTTCGTCAGAAAAGCGACTTTCAGCATTATTACTCAGTTACTATAATTATCTAAGCCTCATAATAATTATTAGGGTCAATTACGTAATTATTTCCTAATTTCACATAATTATTTAATTAACTTCCTTAATTAACGATGTGGGTTCTTATAAGACACACATCTACAATTCCAAAAAATCAATGACATTAAAACTTTTTGGGGGAAGAGGCAGGTTTAGATTGAACCTGCTGGACTTTCCTCTCCATACTCGATATCTGCTGATTTTTAACCATAGCAAAATTACTTCCTTTCCCATCTTGACGCTTTCTTCTGCTAGCTATAGCATCGGGGGTTTAGGCGCTGGCATCTTTAACTGATCAATATCCTGATGCCCCTGTTTGGGATATTTACTGACAGATGAAGATGAAATAATATATTGGATTGAAGGGACCTTTCCTTTCTCACATCCATTAGCTCCTTGATCAACAACAGCAATACCTTCATTCTGATAATGAACATCCACTGCCATATGGCTAAAATGACTCATGGTATTGTTTAGGCCAACCTCTTTTGAGGCTTCATTTAATTCTAACCCTACACTGACAATTTCTATACCCTTCTCGCAAACATTTTCATCAATCAACATAAAATTTGAAGCTGTTTCAATAACTTTAACTGGAGAGTTGCCTCTACGCCGATTACCATGGATATTACTTGTTTCCTACTCATTGTCAATTTGCAGCTTCCTCTGCTTGGTATCGTTACCTTCATCCTCTGTTTGATATAACACATTGAACCTGAAATCCATATTTGTGTCCCTTCGAACATAATTCAAGCCAGACATACCTTCTTTCTTCTCCCCCTGAAAAGAAACATTCATGTTAAATTTCCTCTGCTTAGTTACCAGCATCTATGACCCAAATCTCTCTTCATTTTTATTTGAAGAGGTACTCGACCAATTAATTAGTATACCTTCATCTCCTTGCATAGAATTTTCATCCCCTGATTGTGAATTTACCATAGCAGATTTCAAAGGACAATTTTCTAGTCGATGACCATATTTTCCACATCCAAAACAAACAAGATGTAATCCCTCATATTCAACATTTTTTAATATCCCCTCAATTTTATACTCAGCCTGCAGAGGTCTACTCAAATCTAACTCAACACATATTCCAGCAAATTTACCTCTCGCTAGGCAAGCAGTCGCAGCATCCATTTTAATAAATTTGCCAAGCCAATTTCCCACCTCCTTGATCAGCTCTGTATTCACATATTTCACGGGGAAACTAGGAAGCCTCACCCACGCCAAGATTCGACTAATTGAAGTAGAGAACGGATGGAAATCAGGTTCCCAAGACCTGATAGCTAAGTAGTGATCAAATAAAACCCAAGGCCCCGCTGAGAGGGCATAATCCTGATCTTTTTGCTCCACGAACCTCACTAAGAAAAACCCATTCTCTACATCAGTAACAAAAATCTACCCCTCCATTGCCCACATATTTTATAGGCTTTTCTTTATGACAGTAAGCGCTAACTTCTTCCCTAATAATTTCACATAAATTGCCTTCTTCCAAGGTCTCCATGCACGCTTCTTAAAAGCATCTGATAAACTGAAATTAGTTCTTCCATCTTCATCTATTTTACAGAGAACCTCTGAGAGTTTCGTCGCTCCATTTGAACCCTCTTAAAGATCCTGTAGCTCTTCCTCCACTGCTTCTGCTTCTTCCTCTTCCTCATACTGCATCTCCCATTCTCCATTGTGTCTCAGCAGCATCTCTTTAAAAGATGTAATTTCTTCCATCCATGCTTCTTCTCTGGGAGCCATGGTCTGATCATGATTAAAAACAACATCTCCTCCTTTGTACTTCTTTGTGCTCCTCTTAAGATTGTCTGCTTCCTTTGAAGAAAGCTCCGTCGTTATTTCCGATTGGGTTACGGCGCTAGGGTTCTCCATCGAAGGACATACTTTCTAAAAAATAATATAGCCTCGTATTAATTCCTTATCCTCTTTACTTTAGTTGACTTACAGTATGTCTAAATTTTCTTGTAATTATTAAAAAAAAAACTACATGTTTTGAATTTGTTTTATAGAAGTTGACTTTCGAACTTTTTTTACTACTTAAATATAAGGACCTATTAAGGGATTAATATTTGTTCTTTTAAAACATATTAAAATTATATAATTTTAATAAAAAACGATGTGTTTTATGGTAAGAGAAACAATTACATAATAAAAATATGGTAAGAGAGAGTAAGAGATTTTTTTTGATTTAAATATTAAATAAATAATAATAATTTTAACTAGAATGATTATGTTTTAAAAAGAAATTTTTTTTTTCTTATTTTAATAGTACATTTATTTTAAAAAATTATATCTTTTTTTTTTTTTTGAAAAATAATAACTACATTTTTTAACATACAAATTGTGCAGTGTGGTTAAATGTTTTTTTTTTTTAATGCCGCGTTGGAAATAATACGATTATGAGAAGTTTCTTGTAGGAGTGGGCTTTGGTAGAGAGAGACAAGCGAAGAGTCCAATAGATTAGAACTGGGCTTTGGCGACGTCAACTGAACCCAAGTCAGAACCGACCGGTTGAAGAAACACAGAGAAAACACAAAATGGAAACGGAGGCATAAGCTTAGGAATAACGCAGCCAACACAAGAAGAACCCACGGATCAATGACATGGCATTAAATTTAAATTCCCGCCTAAACCCCTACACTCCGTTAGATTTCATTTCGTTCGCAATTGAATTTCAATTTCCCCAAAGGGCTTAATATCTCACCGCATTTGTGCTTAGCCTTATGTCATAGTGTCTTACCACTTCTATATTCCCCCAAACTCTTCCTCTCTCTCTTCCTCTCTCTCCCCCCCAAACCCTAACTCCCAACCCCATTCCCCACCTTCCGGTACGTATATCCCTCCATTTTTCACAATTTTTCTGCGATTTTCTTTGTTTTCCATGAGTTTACGGTGAAAAAACTGACCCGATCGTGTAATTGCAGTTTCCGTCATGAAAGGTGGCAAGTCGAAGACCGAATCGAAGAGAGCTGATGCCAAGTAAGTTTTATTCGTTTTTTTAATCGAACCTCAACTGGTTTATCACTTTCGATTTTATTCGTTCGTGCCAAAAAAACAACAGAAAATAAATTAGGGTTTCAGGTATTTCAGATCTGAGATCTTATATTCGAGAAATACCGGCTTGATCCCTCTTTTGAACTGCAACGACTTAATATAATTGTGTGATTATGCTATTTGGTTGTTTTTAATGCTATTGCTTTTTGCTTTCGGTGCAGACTTGCTGTGAATAAGAAAGGTGGCGCCGCCACCAAGGGTAGCAGGAAACCAAGCAAGGGGAAGGCAGCCAAAGACCCTAACAAGCCAAAGAGACCTCCCAGTGCTTTCTTCGTTTTCATGTAATTATATATATATATTTTTAACTCTACGATCCATTTGATTTCCGATCCGCTCTTCTTCCCTTTCCACCGAAAATTGTTCTCGTCAAAACTTTTATCCTCATCCTACGGTAAATAATATGTGATTTTTTTTAAATTTTTTTTACATGATTGAATTATCGTAAATATTTTGTGACAACAAAAAACAATGCATATTAAGTGTTGTGCTAGATCTAATTTCCGCTTCATGAATATGGCATATTATTCAATCCTTGTATTTATTGATTTTGGTGCTTTTTTCTAAAACTTGTTTGATTATTAAAGGGAGGAATTTAGGAAACAGTTCAACAAGGAGAATCCAGACAACAAAGCAGTATCTGCTGTAAGTGTTAACTGTGGTTCTTATGTTATTTTCATTGGTGTGTAGCTCAAAGTCTTGATTGTGCTTTTTGAAGGTGGGCAAAGCTGCTGGAGCAAAGTGGAAGTCTTTGTCTGATGCTGTATGTACTTCACTGTTTCTTTACCATAAATTGCGTCTCGAATAATAGTATATGATTTTAATGAAGTTCTGGTTAATGGGTTTTAGGAGAAAGCACCATATGTTGCAAAGGCAGAGAAACGAAAGGCTGATTATGAGAAGAGCATGAGAGCCTATAACAAGAAACAAGTGGGTGTATCTCTTTTGGTGTGGTAATTTAGCTTTGCAATGAATGATTCTCATGCCTTCTTTTTGTTTGTTGTTAGGCTGAAGGTCCTACTGCAGGAGACGAAGAAGAATCTGAGAAATCAATATCTGAGGTGAATGATGAGGATGACGACGAGGATGATGATGGCGAGGTTTGCTTAAAAGCTTTGTCTATTATCATCATAGCTTTACAGCTTTAAACATTTTTGCATTGTAGTTACTTATTTGTGTCTTTTATTCTGTGTAGGAGGATGATGACGAGTAGCAACTGGACTGAGGATAGTATTTATCTAGGTTGTTCTGATGATCTATCATCGTACTTGGATGGTTTGGTCGTTGGGTCGCTTCCTGATAAACATATTTCTTGCTTCCGGAAAATATTCCCTGATCCCTCAGTAATTTTGTTTTGTCTTTCCAAAACGATAGTGAAAAGAAGGGGGTTGACCTTTATTTGTACTTTTAATTTCAACTGTTTAGTTAAGGGGTGTTTATCTTTGTAGAGCTTTTTAGTTTGATTTATCTTTTCTTGATGAAATCTGGTTATGTTTATATCAATATAATTGGCTCATCATTTCCTTCCTGTTGTATCTTGGGTTGTGTATTTTCGATCGATGTTTTATATTTGTTGTTGGCGTATGCTTTCTGCACTTTGTGTGTTGGTTCTTGGAATCATGTTTAACGTCTGGTTCTCTGTGTTCGGGATATTGTGCGAATGCCACTTTTTAACACTTGCTATTCTGCAGTGGTTGTGGTAGTTGTTAATTCTCACTGTAATCTTCTTGTGGATATTTATTTTCGGTGTGTTTTTTCCATTCTTGGTACCTTATTTTTAAGCTGCTACCGACCGTCTGCATGTCATTGTCTGTTTGTCTTAATCATTGCTTTGTATATGTGGCAAGGATTGGCTTGCTATTTTACATTTTTATGGTTTATTGCTTTGTATATAGAACAAATTGATTTATCTATACGATACGTTTGTTCATGTGTTAAATGTTTAATTTGTTTGTTGAAGATTTCGGAATTATTGCTTTCGGTTTGTTTTTTATTCGGCGGAGTGCATGCCTCGATGCTTTTGCCTGTGCTGTACTATACTTCTATTATTCTGATTTTAACATGAGTGAAGTGTTTCATGATTCAATTTTTTTTAGCTTCTTCATCGTTGCAAAAGAAAAATAAATTAATAGTTAACGAGTCAACGCCCAACTCCTAGCAATGGTGGAAGCTGAAGCAGAACTCTCTTGTTAATTTCAGCCGTTCAGTTGCATTTCAAAATTATGAGATGATCGTGGATGTTGCAATTTCATAGAAATTTTGATTTTAAACGTTTGTTTTGGACTCAATTGACAAATTGAGTTAAATTTCGAATTGTTAGAAGTTTGGAGAATCCATGTGTCATTCAACGACTCAGATTGTCTCGATAGAATGGTGAGCCAGAAAATTGTCAGGACAACACTATCTCTCGCAGTGGGATAGGAAACTCTTCTGTTCCTATGTTACTATCCTGTGACGTACCGTTGAAAGTCGTTAGACTGAGGTGGGGTATCCTGGGGTCGTGTAAGTGGTGCTTTCAGAGAGTCGTAGCATTCGGGTGCCGCTAGCGTGTAGGGAAGTTAGTGGGGAGGATGATATGGAAAATATTTGTGAGGCGTTTGGTAAATGAGAAATTTTTTTTAAGCCGGGAATCTATATTTTCAAAAATATGATTTTTACATTCAGTTTATTATAATATCCGTAAATTTAAAATTTAGAAAAATTCAATTTCCGAAGATTCTTGAAAAATTCCGGGTACCAAACGCCCTTTGTGGTATTATGAATGTATCTATCGTTATCAAATAGGAATATATATATATATATATATATATATATATATTTATATGTGTTCGCTTTTTGTCATGTGACATGACGAGAGCTTTTTTTTGCACACACAAATCAAATGTGGGTCCCACGCTTAAAAAAAAAAGTCAAACCAAAATCAGGATACGACGCCGTATCTTTAAGATACGGAAGCAGATTTTTATTGCAGGAATGAACAGTGCCATTCCTGCAACATGATTCTTATATTTCCATATATATATATATATATATATATATATATTCCTTGATGATAAGAGAGTATCCATTTCCGTTGCGCCAAAAATCTACTCGATGGTATGACAATGTGGGAGGGGATCTGACATGCATGACAGGGAGAGTTGAACTTAACGTAAGTGTATATATGCAAAATATTACAATACTATTTTGTAAAATTATATTTATATTTTTTATAATCTATGATGTTTTTTCTTGCCAAGAACGTTCACTTCCACTTTTACTGTTAGTGATATAAAATTTATAGTAAATATTTATCTTATGTTATAGGAGATTACACTAATCTCCTCTTATAGAAACATCAAAATATGTGTCATTAATTTTTGAGTTTAGTGTTTGTCATTTTAAATGACATAAGTTATGTCATTTTAGGAGAGGGATAGACACAGAAAAACGGAAATTATGGGAGAGAAAAAGTGGGTGGTTTTTTTTAATTTAAAATTCAAAATTTCTGTGTCTGTATCTCTCTTAAAATGACATAACTTTCTGTCATTTAAAATGACAAACACTTTTCCCTTAATTTTTTTCTCTTTTTTTATGAAATCTATAGGTCCTACATTTCTTGTTTCAGTTGGAAATTTTTTTTCTCCCAAAATTTTTATATGAAAAATTTTGTGTTATAGTTTAAAGCAAGAGGAAATATATCATATTAAAATTTACGTATCCTATTTAAAAGCTTTAGGAAATGTATAACATAAAAGAATATGCTACCTGTATTTTTGTACTCAGCTTATCTTAAATTGTTGGCATGTCGCAATGTCTTTTGGAGGAATTTTTTCGTACACATGGAGGAAAGATTTCGCTCCTCCATTGACTGTTTCACCGTTTGATATCTCTTCAGTCTCTAACTGGCTCGTTTCGATGAGTTTTTTCCCATTCCAGAAGATGTTTTTTCAAAAAATAAAAAAGGCATTTATCAGAAAAAGTCTGTTTAGATATTTCTTTTTAAAAAAACAGAAATCATAAAAAAAGCTAAGTAACATATTTTTTTTGGAAACAAAATTTTAACTTCTGAAAAAATTAGAAGTTAAAAGCAAAATATTTTTAAAAAATCTAAATATATTTAGCTTCTGTTAAAAAGTCTTGGACATAAAAAAACATTTTTTTTTGGAAGCCCATCCATAAAACCGGTAGAGAGATATGTTTGTTTCACGCTGTTGTGCAAAAACCGAAGCTTGATGGAAGAAAATCAGTAATTATAGAATGTTGTAAGAAAAAAAAAATCCTTTTTATAAAGTATTAGCATACGTGATTTTGTGTATGGGAGTTAGCACACAATAACCTTGAAGCGTGGCCATTTGGCCATATATCGACGTAAAATATGTTGACACTTGATACAACTATGTCTTCAAAGGTATGGAGTATGTTACAAGATTTAAATATACGTATTGGGTAATTAGCATGTTAGACAAGTGAGAGAAATTAGGAAGTGACTTGGAAGGTTGTTATACTTATAGCTGATATGATTGTTACAACTGATATGTAATATGATTTTATTGTGTGAGTATGTGATGCAAAACATGTATTAGCATTTTCTATTTTAGGAGGGAGAGTATAAAAAGTTAAGGTAAAATTCTCCTCGGGAGAAAGTTTCAGTCTTATCATATTCACAAATGAATAAAGCTGTTTTAAGCAGACTTTTTCGTAACCTTATTTTATTATCCATAATGTGAATAAAATGCGTGAAGGATGCCTATTGGAGTATGATATCGATAAACGGCATAAAGAAGTTTTTTTATTGAACTCCATAGGTCATAGATGATTCAAAATTCAAATAAATCCAAATCGCTGGTTTGGACTATTATAAATTACGGAAAACACAATTTATATTATTTTACTCTCACAAAGAGATGAGATTCACAATTTTTTATTTTTCTTGTTTACTCCCTCTCTCCTTTATTTATCTCACTTAGAATGACATAGTTTTATATCTTAGACACTTTTCCCTATTAATTAATAGTCGTTTCTAAGTCATGCTTTCAAGAAACGGATAATCCGTATATCCAAGGACAGGATCATTTGTGTAAAATGTGCTCCTATCGGGCTTGTTTAACTCAGCATTCAGTTCGAATCTTGTAGGCAGATCCGGATTTGCCAAAAAGAGGCGTCCATAAGCCACCAAATCTGCACCACCGCTGGCCAAAACTTTGTTTCCTTCATTCCTGTTGTAGCCACCAGCGACAATAAAGGTTCCATTGAAGGCCTTTCTAATGGGCAATAGGGACTCATTGGACTCAAACTTGTCAAACATTGTGCGCATCCTTGGTTCAATTACATGACAATAGAGAATGCCCAATTGACTCAAGGACCGAGCCATGTAAATTCCCAATGCTTGAGGGTCAGAGTCTCCACAATCACAATAATCAGCGAAAGGGGACAGCCTGACACCAACTTTGTCAGCTCCGATCTCATCACCTACCGCTTTCACCACCTCTAGTGGGAAACGACAACGATTTTCTAAGGTACCTCCATACTCATCATCTCTGTCGTTTACTTTGTCCTTTAGAAACTGATCAAGCAAGTATCCATTGGCTCCATGTATCTCTACTCCATCAAAACCTGTTTAATTTTTGCTTCAATATTTATGTGACATTATAAAAATGAAAATTATATAAAATTCTAAGATAAGGTTACCCGCTTCTATGGCATTTTTAGCTGCCATTCTGAAATCATTGACAATTTTGGGGATTTCATCGGTTCTGAGGCGACGAGGTGGTGGGTATTTAGTGCTGCTACCTTCCTTTTGAATTGGTTTGTTTGTACTTGAAATTGGGGGTTGCCCATCTGGCTGGTAACCTGTTTGATCATGTTCTCAGTATTTATGTCATCATTTCCTTATACATGGCATCATAATTTGGAAAATCAAATTAAAAAGAGAGAGAGAGTGAAACTTAGTACATATTAATTTTATAACCCTATAACTGTTTGGATCTCGATCCTCTCGTATGAAAAAAAATTGAGATAGTCATATGAAGAATCATAACCGTTGATTCATTTTGTATAATTATGATTTTTCCCATATAATCATATTATGTTTGTTTCCATCACTATTTTCAGCTTGGATTACTAATAACGAAGGCAAAATATAATGTAGATATTTAATTTATGGAAAAATATTTTCTCATATTACGTAAAAATTCAATTATCATATTGTGACTTTTCGATTTACTTTAAATTTGCATGAAGCCACTATTAATCCATAGGTTGAATTACAACATAAAAATTCAATTATCATAGAGGAAATCAAACTCCTTAACTTATATTGCTAAAGAGTAAAAACAGAGATACCATAGTTGGAGACTCTTCCAGCATGCCAGAGTTGGCAAAAGAATATGCCCCCTTTCTCATGAACGGCTCTCACAATAGGTTTCCATGCTTCCACCTGTTCTCTTGTCCAAATGCCAGGTGTATTTGGGTACCTTTAATGACAAACAAACAAAAACATGAAGAAAACAAATGTAGTAATTATTAAATATAAATATTACATTCTTTTATCAAATTCTGATAATCACTTTAAAATAAAAAAATAAAAAAAAGAAAAAATTATTAATTTAATTTAATTTAATTTAATTTTTTTAAATATTTAATATTTAAAAAATACTAAAATTCTTGTATTCCCCATTTTGTTTAACCTCTAATTTACGTTTCGTGCTTTGCGAAAAACACGCCTTGATAAGAATCTCAAACAAACATCTTTAGCTGTCACTTATAGATAGTTAAAGGAATTGTGTTATTTACACCTTGAATCTTTAACTCTCATCTCGATTATTTTTTATTGATTTGTTTCTTATTAATAATCAGTCAAAAAACATCAAAAAGATGTGTGATGTGATTAATGTAAGCTAAGATCAATGTGACTGTTTGAAATCTGTTTCAAAAAAAAATTTGATTTTTTTTTAACTTTTTAAAAAAACTTATAACTGTTTTATTGTTTTTACCATCAAGTTTAAAGAATATATCTGAATCATATTTATTTTATGTTTTGACTTTTAACTTTCAAAATGAAAAAGAATATAAAACACTTATTTTATTAATTATATTTTTTGGTAAATATTTTTTTAACTATTTTATAAAATAATTTTATAAGAAAAAAAATTAATACACAGTCAAACGCAATATTTCAAGGCACAAATTCACTTCATGACTTGGGAAAAGCCAAGGCCAGATAGAAACGAGCGTGATTGCTTTTTCAAGAGTATACTACATTTTATTTTCTTGAAAAGTTATTTCAAATTAACACTCTTTTATCTTTTATTTTAAAATATTAATCTCTTCCTTTAGCTGATTCATTTTAATTTTTTAATCTATTTTAAAGCAAATGGAGTAATTTTTATTCTTCTTTTTTTCTTTTTAACTTCCAGCACACAATTAGTTTTAAATATTATTGTTGACTTAAAGACTTCAAAAATAAAATACTTTTTTTTTCGGTGAAGTGTCATAGTCAGAAGTAAAACATAGTAATTGGTGGCACTAAAAGTCATTATATATGCTCCACGACTCCAAAATATTCTCTTTAGGCGAACGTTTGGGACAAGAAATTTTATAGAATTTCTGAAAAATTATTTTTTTTTTAATTTTTAAATATTATCGTAAACTGAATGTTTTCGTCGTAATTCTGAAAATTAAAATTCTTGAAGAAAAAAAAAAAAATCTCTGTCAAACACCCCATGAAAACAGTAATTATGGACCCTGAGAATTGCACAGAGAAGAAATAAGAATGGAAGATTACCCTTGTGCAGTTTCTGACACCCCTGATGCTTCCCCTATCAAGAAGCCACCATTTGTTGTTCGTTGAGAATAATATAGAGCAGCATGGGGCTGAGCCACGAAATTGTAGGACCTCGTTCTTGTCAACGGTGCAAGAACAATCCTAAAGAATGAAACACAAAAAAACAAAGTCATAAATATATAAAAAAAATAAGGAAAAAACATTTTTCATATTACATGAAAATTGTTTTTCGTAACTATTTGATTTGCATATAATTTTTTTTTTTGTTTTTAATAAGTACGGAGTTTATCACTAATTGAGTCGTAAGGTGATAAAACAATTTTCATACAAAATAAAACAATCAAAGCCAAAAATATAAAAGTCAAGAACTTTGGGGGAACTAAGCAATCTAGGTACGTTCGTTAAACATTCTGCTCCATTTAAAAGAAGTACTTCAATATGTCTAAAGGGTAGAACTTACCTGTGGGATAAATTAAATTTTCCCAACTTGTATGGGGTAAGGAGGGGTATCACTTCTCTTCCCTCAATCACTTTCTTGTTCTCTTCTTCTATCATCTTGGTGTTGGTCATCATCATCCTCGTCTTCCCACTCAGTTCACAACTAGCGATGGATGCAGAGACTTAAAGAGTGTCGTTTCTTATAGTAACTCCTCGCAAGAAACCGATGTCGTTTCCCAACAAAAATTCAAGTTGAATGATGTCATGTCACACTTAATTTTTTCTTTTTTCTTATATTTTTCGAACGGAGAGTGCGTATGTAACTCCAGATTTATTATTATTATTATTATAAGAGTAAATACTATTTTTGGTACTCAGCAAATTTTGCGATGTTTCCTTTAGTACCTAACAAATAAAAAGTTTATTTGTGGTTCCTAAGAGATTCAAAAAAGACTCATTTAATTGAAATCGTAATCACTCACAAATTCAAAAAGACTCACATTAGACTCACATTAAAATGGTTCCACTTTGAATTTTTTAGGGACCAAAATAGTCTTTTTATTTGCTAAGGACTAAAATGGACATCATAAAATTCGCTGATGACTGAAAAAGTATTTACTCTTGTTATAATTACTTTTTTATCTTTCATTAATTATTTAAGATTTATATCCTCTATTATTTATGAGATTTACAGGTGTGTATCTCGAAAATATATTGCTTCCAAACATAACATTTTTTCCCTTTTTTTTTTTGGATTTCAAGATAACTTTTTTTCCTTTCTTTTTGTATTTCAAAATAACTCTTTTTCTTAAAACAGCTATTTCGCGTAAATAATGTTATTTAAAAAAAAGGATAAAATTGTTAATAATCATAAATTATTTACTTTATACTGACAAAATACTTATTTTGAAATGTTTTTTTAAAACATTTTGACAATAATCAGATTGATTACTTTGTACATGAGATTTCTTTACTAAAGTTGCCCCTCGCATTTCTTTACATTAATTTAACAATATTCTAAATTTAAAAAATATAAAATTCACGTGATTTTATGAATCGAATAATTTCTTATTTGTTAACATTATAAACGTCGGATTTGATTTCTAAATAAATCAAATATTATTTTTAATTATTCGAAACACAGCCTTTTAATTGAGTCGGTTATGTAATAATGCTGATATTTATCTACTCAAGTACAATTGAAAGAAAACTTTTCTTTGAGAAATGGAGATAAATCTCAACTTAAAATTAGTCTTATAATCGGTTTAAACTTTAAAGAGTCAAGGTTTATATCCTTAAAAAGGTAATTAGAGTTTGTATAAAAAAAAAACCATTTCTTTTTATGAATTTTTTTTTTAATCTCAATCGTAGTTGGTAATAGGTCATAGCCTCATAGGGTGGGTGGGAGGAAGAAAGGTTTCATAGTAACAACGTACATCGCCTGAGAGGTGGTGGTGGAATAGTGTGATCGTTGCCATTTTTTTTATTAAAAGTTTATTTAATTCCAAAATTAACAAGCACTTACACTTATTACTCTTGTTAATTCAACGGTATTTGACTATAGTGCATCGGTGCACTTTTAATTGGTGCATCTTAGACTCGCCATAAGAAACATTATCTTTGCAATGATTTTGTTGATCATCACGAGGGAAGTAGCACAAATGGCAACAGCCCAAAACTTAAGATAGAAATATTATTATCTCTTATGGTTGTTTTTTTATATAAAATATTACTGATTATATATTATTAAAAGCTTAATTGATTATGCGATTCACATGGCTAATCCATTAAATTAGTTTAAAACTCATTCGGACATCGATCCTAGCACTTGTAAACATGCCAAACTTAGGGCACAACGGCAATATATTAACATCATTCTCTGATTTCTCTCGAAACAAGTTCTTTTATCACTTAAATCAATGATAATTATTGAGTAATTAATATTTCGTTGACAAATCCTATACATGAGAAACTTAATTTAAAATAATTACAAAAATACCAGTATTGCTCACAGTCCCACATCACAAGACAAGCCTTGAGCTCTGTTCCTTGTCATGTCTTGATTGTATCTCTGCTATTGGTTTGTCTTGTCAGGAAGGCACAACCCACTTCCCTATTTACTGTTTGAGAGACGATAACAACATCCTTCAAGTATTTTCTTTTAAATATTTATTATATGATAAAATTTATAATTATTTTATTAATAAAGAGTATGACTATTATTGAATTTTATTTAACAATTAACAAATATTATAAAGATATCAAATAATATATTAATAACATTTTCCTTCAATCTTTTAGTCATATGAACTACTTGGTTTAGTCTAGTAGTATGAGCTGTGTGTAGTATAGTATTCGATCCCATTATAATAATAATAATAAAAAAATTCTATTCTCGAAATCTAACCATCTGAAAATGGTTCCTTGATCAATCTGCATTTGTTTTAAGGAGAATATATTGTAACAACTAAGTTGTGTTATTATCAAGTGACTATCAATTAATCTCACCGTTAGATCGATTATGTTGATCCAACGGTTATATTTATTTTTATCTTTGTACGGTTATGATTTCTCATATTTAAAGTGAAAGCATTAAATATGAGAAATCATAACCATACAAAGGTGGAAATAAATATAAAGTATTAAATTTAGGAAACCATGACCATACAAAGATGGAAATAAATATAACCGTTAGATCAACATAATCGATCTAACGGTGAGATTAATTGATAGTCACTTAGTAGTAACACAACTTGGTTGTCACAATATCCTTCCCATTGTTTTGATTCATTTTATGTTTAAAACAATTTTATATTTTAATTATATTTAGAAACTAAAAAAACTTTTTAAATTTAAATTAATTTAAACATACACTTCTTTTGATCACTAATATTTATTTTCATGAAATGAATCATCTATAGTCTATAAAAGGAATTACACAACGACGATGCAATTGTATCCAAAAGCTTGTACTGTTTAATGAATTTATATTTTTAACTTTTAAATTAGGAAAAACTTCAACAAAAAATCCTGTAATTTTTTTCATAATCATTTATCCTCTCTAAAATTTTGAATCATTTATCCTATGACTTAAATTTTTTTTATCATTTACCTCCTAAGTGAGGAAGGTAAGTGATAAAGAAACTTTAAGTCAGGGGGTAAGAGATAAAAAAAATCTAAATAAGAGTGTAAATGATTCAAAAATTTGTGAGAGGATAAGTGATAATTAAGAAAATCCATAAGGATTTTTTTGAAGATTTCCCTTTAAATTATAAATCAAAATTTATTATTATTATTATTATTTTGTGACTGATATCCTTTGCAATTAAATAAGGATGGTGATACTTGTTTTGATTGCATCGGAAGCATGTCTCCTCAAAGACTTAATGGAAATAAGGTTTACTATATATATATATATATATGTATTCGGCCACAAAGATTCCCCAGCAATAATATGCCATACTCATCTTACCAAAAAATAAAAATAGCTATTGAATTTCGAGGTAGAATTTTTTTAGGTTGATTGCTTTGATATGTTGATTAAATTCGATAAGGTTGAACCTGACACACTATGGATACAATATTGATTCTATTATAATCCATTAGACAACTCTGTCAGTGTCATGTCAAGAAGCCTGGGGAGTTTTTGTTATTTTCTTGTTGCTGCATTATGTAAACATTATTTTTTTTTCTATTAAATTAAATTGCGTTTCTGTTAAGATGGGCCATAGTTAACAAAAGCAAAATGCGACCAATTACACATAACAAGCTAGCAAGTAGCAAAGATAACATTATCTTATCTTAGAAGTGGTTAAAGACTAATCCACTCTTTCTGTTTCCAATGGTAAGTGGAATATCTGCGCTTGTTTTGGGCCATGGTTAATCATTATATTTATGCACTTTCACGCAGACATCTGTTCCTTTATTAATTTTGCTTTTGATTTACATCATTTACACAGTTCGTAATAGTTTATAGCTCCATATAAGTTTAAGTAATTATTACATGGGTATCTGATTCTTACACAAAAAAAATAGGTGAAAGTCAAGAAGAAGAGAGACAAAGAAAAAAAAAGGATTTCACTTATTTTTTGTGTGTTGTATGATACAATTTTATTGTCTCAAATAACATTAAAAACATATTTTTCTTATATTATTATACAGGGTTTGATGTTAATGTTGTGCTGATATGGTACATATAAGTCTGTTAGGCAGTGGCCAGGGGAGCCTAAACAGGGTAGACTATCATCCACACATCAAGTGAGTCTAAGTAATAAACTTATAATATGGAATTTCGATATCATATCTTAACTCAAAACCTTAAGACATTAAGTTTATGGGTCTTCCCTCTCAAGCGAAAGTTTCTTCGAGTAATATTGATGAGGTTACCAACCAGGAGTAGGTTAGTCTCTTGGTCTACAAGAGCCTACAAACCCGAACACAAACCACCAACTCCAAATACTCGGTACATGCAATGGGAGCCCAATTAGGGTAGATTATCATTGACACATCAATGAACTTAACCTAAAACCTTAAGACATTGAATTCATGAGTCATTTCACTTATATGTGCTCTGCTTAGCCCATTCCTTTCTAATGTGAAACTTTTTATTACTCACACTTGAATTTCCAACAATCTCTCCCTCGAGTGTGAGTCTTACAATTGTCCACTTCCCCTCAAGCAAAAGCTTCTTCGAGTATTAATGGGATCACCAACCAAGAGTGTGTCAGTCTCTTGGTCCACAACATGGGTTTGCTCATGCGTACAAACCTGAACACCAATCACCATCTCCAAGTACTCGGTAACCCAAGCCAATCAATCATTGACTCTGATACCATTGTTGGGCAGCGACCTGGAGGAGCCTAATTAGGGGAGGCTACCATCCACACATCAAATTGGCCTAAGCGACAAACCTATAACATGGGTTTAGATATCATATCCAAATCCAAAACCTTAAGGCATTGGGTTATCGATCTTCCCATTTATATGCACTTCACTTAGTCTATTACCAACCAATATGAAACTACATTATACTTCAATATCCCATTCATCTCCCCTTAAGTGTGGATCCTACAATTGTCAAATCCTCCTCAACCGAAAGTTTCTTCAAATATGTATAAGTTACCAACCACGAGTAGGTCAATCTCTTGGTTCACAACATGGGTTTGCGCAACCTACAAACTTGAACACCAACCATATCTCCAAATACTCGGTACACCTGGGCCAATGATCTGATACCAGAGTTGCGCAACAGCTAGGGGAAGCCCAATCAAGGAAGACTATCATCCACATATTAATGGGCCTAAGCGACAAACCCACAACAAGGGAGTCCGACACCATATCTTAACATAAAATCTTAAGAAATTGAGTTTATGGGTTCTTTCACTTATATGTGCCATGCTTAGCTCATTCATTTCCAATATGAGACTTTTTGTCACTCATATTTGAATTCCCAAAACAGGAGATAAAATTATCTATTATACATACGTAAAAGTATGTGGGGTCCATATGAGATCATGTGAAAGGAGAAAAAAAATCACACATACTTTTATGTGTGTAAGAAATAATTTTATTTTATAAGTATTAAACCTATATAGATAAATACATACGTATATAGATAATAAAAAAATTATATAGAATGTAATTTTTATTGATAGAGCCGATTTTATATAATTATTTGTTTTTTTTTTAATTTTTATGTCAAATTTTTGTAAAAATTAAATAACAATAAAACCAAATATTTATTATTTTTATATATTTTAAAAGTATATTAAATAATTTCGGATTAACATACTATTTTTCAAAAAAAATTATATGATATTTTTTTAATTCAACCTTGAATCTTATTCCAAACATCCCCACACAGATAGATAGATATATATATATATATATATATATATATATATATATATATATATATATATATGCGCGCGTGCGTGTATATAAATATAAAGTCTCTTATATTTACTGATAGTTAAATTTATAGTAAATCACATTCTAAAATTTTAAAATTGAGCCTACATTATTTTAATTCTTGAAATATAAATGACATATATGCAGTCTTTAAAAGATAAAGAGTGTCATCAATTTAGTTTTTTAATAATAAAAAATGATATTAATTTAATCTTTCAATTATATATGATTGATATATTATTAAAAAACGATATTAATTTAATCTTTCAATTATATATGATTGATATTAATTTATCATATAATAATAAAAAATAGTAATTTAGTCTCTAAATTTTATAATTTATATATAAAATATTTTAATAAAATTTATAATAGAGAGATTTGATTAACGTATACTTAACATTTCGAAGGACAGAATAAATTTTTACTTTCTCTTTAATTGTAAATCATTAAGCATAAAAAAATTTGGTCAATGCGTTCGAAACTTGGTCGGACAACGGTGCACGCGTTCTCGGCAGGGATGCGTTTATTACGCTCTCTCCCATTCCACTATTAGGACAACTAATTGAACTAGAAAAAAAATAGAAAAACGATTTTAATAAGTTTTTTTAATGGAAAAAATATTTCTGCAGATAAGTTATCTGTATTTATTTTCAAAACGACGTCGTTTTGATATTTTAAAAATTTATAAATATAAAGACTATTATAACTCTGAAATAAATTAAAATTACAAATACACCATGATTTCTGTCCCAAAACAACGTCGTATTGAACTTACTGTAAGTATCTTATATGTAGTAACTGCAAAAAAGCGAACTTTTTTAATATATCAAAGGAGGATAATTCATTGCAAGGAGCTTATTTTATATGGACCGGGACTTTGAGTCTCTGTCCTAAAATGGAAAAAAATAAGAGACGGACGGAGAATTTGACAAAAAGAAAAGAATTTAAGTGGAAGAATTTTTTTTTGTTTTGGGAAAAGGTGCACCTTAAAAATGGTGCAACTTAAAAATAATACACCGGGTCTACATTAAAAAAATTCCATTGCAACAGTCTTTAAGGAGGCGTTTAGTTCAGGAATTTTTTTTGGAATAGTAGGGAAATGAGATAGATAGAGAAATGATTAGAAAGATAGATAAAGTAAGATGGGTAGAAAAATGTAAAAAAAAATTGTTTCGTGGGGAAAAACTTTACTGGAAAAATTAGGTAACTTTATGAAATCAACAGTGCATTAAAAGTCAGATAATCGATTTTCCGAAAAATCCCACCTTCAAATTGGGTTTCTAAACAGTGCGGATATCTATGTTTCTCATAAATCCAGACAAATTGGATAGATGAGTTTTTGGTGAAAAACGTTGAAACAAACATGGTGTTTCTAAAAGCCATACTTGAGAAAGATAGATATCCGCTGAAAAGCTCCCAACCAAACACCACATAAAAGAAAGAAATATAAAGTCATATGTAACTATCAGGACAACTAATTTAAAGGCGGAAAAAATGTGTGTCTTTTTAAATGACACATCTTATATCTTTTCACACTTACAAAGAGGTGAAATTCACATTTTTAAAATTTTTCCTTACTCTCTTTCAATAATTTTTTTTTTCTCGTTTAAAATGATATAACTTTGTCTATTTTAAAATAATATACATTTTTTTCGTTTAAAGGTTTAGTGATAAAAGAAAGTAATAATGTAGAGTGATAAAAGGGAAAGGATGGCCAAATTGCGAGATTTGCGGAAGGAGGCTAAATTGCGCAATGAACTACGCTACTTTCGGCTTTGACTTGAGAAAGGCTCTGCAAAATGCCAAATCCAAAACTGAGTCCTCACTTTTTGGTTAGGAGTTAGCTTAGTTCTTCTGATTGTGCAGAAGGAAAAGGAGAAATGGAGACAGAGCACGAGATCTCAAATGGTATTGGAAGCTTGTATGTCAAGGTGATGACAGACGAACAAATGGAACTTCTGAGGCAACAGATTTCTGTCTACGACACCATATGTGACCGCCTCGTTGAGATGCACAAGGCCATAACTACCCAACAGGACCTCGCAGGTTTGGTTTGTTTCTAACCTTAAATTTCTCCTAAGATTTAGTTTTATTATTATTATACGATGCTCTAAATTATATATATATTTAGGACTTGGGTTGGGTAATTTGTACTGTGATCCACTTATGGCTTGTTCTGGACACAAGATAACTGCGAGGCAGCGTTGGACTCCAACGCCTCTTCAGCTTCAAATACTCGAGCGTATTTTTGATGAAGGCAATGGTACTCCAAGCAAACAGAAGATCAAAGACATAGCCATTGAACTTGGTCAACATGGTCAAATATCAGAGACAAATGTCTATAATTGGTTTCAGAATAGAAGAGCTCGTTCAAAACGTAAGCAACTAGCTCCCACACTAAGCAATGTGGAACCAGAGGCTGACACAGAATTTGAATCTCCGAAAGACAAAAAGACACGTTCAGAGAGCGTTCAACTTCAATCCTACGAGAATTCATCACCTCATAGGGCCAAGGATTTATACATCGAGAGTCCTGATAGAGGTATTAATATTTCAATGAAATGTGTTCTTAATATTCATTATATTTTATTTCATCCATCTCGAGTGAGTGCGCATAAATATACTGAGCATAAAACCTGATTAGACAAGGACACAAACTTTTAAGACATATTCATTCAATCTAAATGCTATTGCTTTGTTTACCCAGGATTTGACCAATTGATGGGTAAAGTGGAAGCTGCAGGCTACTACAGTTCTTATTTTCTTTGAGCAATCTGTGAAATGACTGGCTTAATTCTCAATTCTCGAATTGTGCTGCTTGATTGCAGCTTGTTGAATTCAAGATTGTCGATGATACTGTTATATATTTTGGAGCTTTCATCCAAAAAATGTTGATGAACCACAAATGATGTGTCACATATATATATATATACACTCATATGCATGTTTGTATAAATTATTTTTCTTAGGTGCTTTGCAGAGCTAACTGTTGATTAAGCATTACTGTGATTTGTTAACGATTTTACTAGTTTTGAACCTAATCGCTTCTCCCAATTTGCATTAGATTTGACTTATAGGAGCTGACATACTTGTCATATATGTTAGTATCATAGAGTATGTTATCACCATTAGGTTTCATTAACATCTTGTCAGTTATGTTATCTGCACATAGTAAATCTGCTGAAACACTTTTTCCCTTGTTAAGTGCCTCAGCAAATGAAAGACTACATCTTGTACTCTTACAAACCACTCATCCAAATGTAGTCATACCCATGGCCTAGTAGCCCTTCAATAATTAGATTAACAATTTCTAGACTTAAAGTTTACTCCCCTTAAACTATTGCCTTGTTACCTTTCAACCTCATAAATTCATATATTTCTACTCATCTTCAGTTTTTCAAGTCATCACCTTAATGACTAAACTCTCCCTTGGCATTGTTGATAGCATTAGTTATAACTTTTCCAAATTTTCAATTCCGGAATGTGGACGCTAGAACTTATAAATTATAATTTTATCAAATGGCAATGAAGCTTAAACGCTTATGTTAAGAACTAATTCAACCCAAAAGCTTAAGCTGTTGGGTGAAGCTACATCAATAATTTTATATATCTCAACACACCCCCTCACACGAGAGCCTATTGGGCTTGAAGGGTGGACGATATAGAGGTCCACCTACCTGTGCAAAGAAAGAAATTCCACTAGAAAGAAGGTGGGGAGCGGTAGCTTATTTAGATAAACAAATACAATTACCTAGATGCAACATCTCTCTACTTGGAGGGGGGACCTTGATAAACAGCAATACAAGCACACTCTGTTCCTAAAGAAAGGAAAGCACCTGTATAAAACAAACTGTACAATACACAGAAAAAGGTAAAAAACATACTGTAAACGGGTTGCAGATAGTGAGTGGCTTTGTAGGCCTGGAAACTAAGAAGGAAGGTTCTGTAAATTAATCCCTGAATTCCATTCAACCAAAAGCTCTGCATCTTGGCACTAGATAGAAGCTGACATAATTTAAATGTATTAGAGCCAAACTAATAAAATCATGACCACGATGATTGAATCTTATGGATGATTTGGCTCAATCAGGAACTGTCAGCTACTCAGCTCCAGTCCACAAAAAACGAACCGTGAGAATATTTCCTTCAATGAAATTTAAGACTTCAATTTCTTTCATGCCAGAGACTCTAACTGGCAACAAATCCTGTAGTGACGTTATCATATATCCTCTGAAGAGTATCTTGGTGATTTATATTTTTTAATTCAGAACTTTAGCATATATGAGAAACAATTCTAGAACTACAGGGAGAAGATTAGCTGAACCTTCATTTTAACTGACAGTTACCATGTATCTGTATGAAATTAAGAATTCAGAAATATCCCAACAATCACTTTATTAAATTTAATGCGTTTAGCAAAATGTAGCTCAAGTTATAAGGAACCAAAAAGTTCGAAAAAAGTTGGACTTGAAAAAATTAATATAGAATAATTTTTAAAACCAATTTTATCTTGAAATTAATTTTCATAAGAACTATTTTTAAAAAATCTAATTAATTACCAAACATCTGATTAAAAACTGTCTGTTATCTTTAGAATTCTTATTTTATGAAATTTTCAAACATCAAATCTAAATGTTTTGTCACTTTTAAGATCTTACTTGACATCCGGAGCCTTAAAAAAGTCCTAAATGTCATTGCCCATTTCAGTTTAGATAATTAAAAAATGCAGCTATTGCGGTTGAGCAGGCAAATTAGCATATCTCAAAGAATTAAAAGCTTGCAATTCAAGCTTAAATTGAACCAGGAATGCATCAATAGGGATGAATTCCTAGGAACTCCCTATTTCAAAATTATTAGTTAGTATTTGTACCTACAAAAAAGTGAGTTAATGATTCGTGGTTCATGGGATTAGTCCCTCCCATGTAGCCACTTGTCGCCAAGAGCCACCGACATCCCATTTGGCTCCAAAGACCAAATATGTTTCATAGAGAAAGGAGCAAAACTTTCGTGAATGGGTAACTATTCGTGTTTTATTATTTATTTAGAATATGCGTAACACCTTCATTCGTCATCTCCGCGATTACAATTGATTCCAAAATAAACAAAGGTATCTCCATTCACGACATTTTATTCTCATGGGAAAAATTTAGTATATTACCATTGCACACGGTAGTATTTGTACTATGTTTTTCTCAAAATATATAATATAAGGGATTAAAGTATCTGCAGTTACAGCGGATACTTTAATCCCATAATATAAATATTAAAGTTAGGGACTAAATTAAGGTGAATGAATACTAAAGAGGGATTAAATTGTAAGCATTGATTTATGATGAACTAAATAGAAAAAAAAGATAGAACAAAAATTAAGGTGAGTTATTAATTTTTTTCCCCAAAATTTAAATTGCTAAATTTTAATATACAACTCAGCATTTAAAAGAAAAATAATATTAAGTTTCAGAAAAATATAAATAAAATTTTAAATTAATTAAAATTTAAAGAAATTCCCTCGGTTGGTTTTAATTAAACTTGTTAGTTTTCTGAACTATCCTCGTAACAGCAAAACCGTTGAATGATACAACAATTTAAAAAATTTCATTAAGCAGAGGAGATGAAAGGGTTTGGAGTTTGGACATACGGATATTGAATGTTATCAACGAATTACGAATAACCATTGTTTCCGCAAGAAGATTATATAACAGCAAGATGGGGGTAGTAGAAATACAAAACGCTATATTTACCAAAAAAAAAGAAAAGGAAAAGAACTTCAAAACACTACTGGGAATTATTTACATGGTTCTCTTTTATTACGTGAGCGAAGGTTATAGTTTTTATTTTTTTTTCATATTACTTCTTATTACTAAATTGTAATACTTAATTTTCGTTAATTTAATGATTATAATTTATTGGGTCATATTTATTAATTAATTATTAATCTCAAATAAATCATAACCATTAAATTAACAAAAATTAATAACTAAAATTTGATAATAAGAAAAAGAAAGGATAAGTATAACATCTTCTCTTATGTTATATTTTTTTTGTAAATTTCTCTTATGTTATATTAGCTTCATCTCTTATATCATAAAAATAATAGGTGATGGCGCCATTATTTATTAAAAAAATAAAAAGAATATCCTGGATTTCAATGTCTCACAAGAAATTTTTTTTATCTCTTATTATAATATGAGAAAATAATTTTTCATTATTTATTATTATCATAATTTATATTTTGTTTCTATGGATGTGTAAACGGGGGATTAATATTCTATTACTTTATGTAGATGTAGATGTAGATGTAAATGAAATCAAATGAAAATCCTCCGTTGAGGCACAGCCTGTGTTGCGGTCGTTGGAGTCGGAGAAGACGCCACATCTGAACGAAACTTGCCGGCAAGAAAAGCTGCCCCATTCACTTTCTCGTTTTCTTTTAATTCTTCCGAATCTGCGTTCTCCGACGTAGAATCTAGAGTCCCTTCAACAATTCCCTACTTTCTTCCGCGATTCAAATCCCTAATCGGCTTGAGTTGATTCTGTGGCGCGCGATCTAGTTTGAGGTTGAATACGAATAGAATATTATAATAATCGGATGGCAGGACCAAATATGGATCAGTTTGAAGCGTATTTCAGGAGAGCAGATTTAGATGGAGATGGCAGAATCACTGGAGCTGAAGCTGTTTCTTTCTTTCAGGGATCCAATTTGCCCAAACATGTTCTTGCTCAGGTTTCCTTCTGTTCTTAATTTCTAATCTAAAGCAAACAAATATAGCCTCTCTACTTCAATTGATCATTTCTGTATGTGTTTTCTCTTCGAGGTATATGATTTTCATGAGAAATGGCTGTGATTTCGTGTTTCTTTTTTTTGCTTCGAATCCTTGTTTTAGGTTTTCGTCACTGCTTCATTTAGCCGTCTCTTATTTTCCTTGTTGTTTGGAAAAGTTAACTCGATCTAGCGTAATGCTTATTGTTCTTGGTATGAGCTACAGGTATGGATGCATGCTGATCAAGCCAAAACTGGTTTCCTTGGGCGGACAGAGTTTTATAATGCTCTGAGATTAGTAACTGTCGCTCAGAGTAAGCGAGATTTAACGCCTGATATTGTGAAGGCAGCGTTATATGGTCCTGCTGCTGCCAAAATCCCTCCGCCGCAGATCAATCTTGCTGCTATACCTCCACCACTTCCGAATTCAGTGGCTGCGGCACCTGTTGCACCGATGGGTGGAACTGCACCCATATCGTCTCAAAGTTTTGCCTATAGAGGACAAGGGTTAGCAGGTCCTGTTGCAAACCCGCAATATTTTCCTTCCCAGCAGAGTCCAACCATGAGACCACCTCAACCCATGCCTGCTAGTAGCGCTCCCCGTCCACAGCAGGCTGTTGCAAGTCCAGATATTTCTAAAGGATTTAACATGGCTGGCCACAATCTCTCAAATCCTGGCATCTCAAATGATTGGAATAGTGGAAGAACTGGTACAGTTCCTGCTAGGCCTGCAGGAATCCCTCCATCGGTTGCATTACCAACATCAACATCACTCTCTCCAGTCTCACCAATGTCCCAGCCAGCATCTATTATCACTAAATCATCAGCTGTTTCTGGAAATGGTTTCTCTTCAAATTCAGTTTTGGGCAATGATTTATTCTCTGCTGCCTCATCCGCACCCAAACAAGAACATACTGGACAGAATTATTCTGCTAGCGGTGCACATGCTTCATCAGCCATTCTTCCAGTTTCCAGTGGTGCCCAACCTGCAAGTAGGCAAAGTTCACTTGATTCATTGCAGAGTGCATTCTCAATGCAGCCTACAAATAGTCAGCTTCCGCGGACACAGTCTGCATCAAACACAAGCCAGCAAATTTCACCGCCATCTTCTTCTCCGCTTACATCATCTGGACTTGGAAATTATTCTTTTAGCAGTGTTCCTGCTTCATCAGCCATTGTTCCAGTTTCAAGTGGTGCCCAACCTGCAAGCAAGCAAAGTTCACTTGATTCATTGCAGAGTGCATTCTCACTGCAGCCTACAAGTAGTCAGGTTCAGCGGACACAGTCTGGATCAAACACAAACCAGCAAATTTCACCATCAGCTTCTTCTCCGCATACACCATCTGGGCTTGGAAATACCATTTCTGACAATTCACAGCTTTCTTGGCCAAAAATGAAACCTTCTGATGTGCAGAAGTATACAAAGGTGTTTATGGAAGTTGACACTGACAGGGATGGAAAAATCACTGGGGAGCAGGCCCGCAGTCTATTTTTAAGTTGGAGATTACCAATAGGTAAAACCTTTTGCTTTTCAACCGACATCTGTTAGATGTAGTGTATATGAATTTTGGGACGTTAATGTGTTAGCTAGTCCATTAAGGTCTTAGGTTTAGCTTCTTGAACTCACAATGTTTTTTCTTCTTTAATTCTATTTTTGGTTGACGAGGGCGAGCCTTGGAGCAGCGGTAAAGTTGCTCCTTATGATCGAAAGGTCATGGGTTCGAGTTTGGAAAACAGCCTTTTTGTAAAAAATGCAAGGGTAAGGTTGCGTACAATTGACCCTCACCCTTATTTTCGCAAGTCGGGGAGTTTTGTGCACCTTGGTTTGCCCTTTTTTATTTCTTTTTCTGGTTGACAAGAAACTACGTACTGTGCACCAGTACTGGAAAATTTTGTTGTTTTTGGGGAAGGTACAACAAATTTGTTTATTTTATCTGAAAAAATGGAAATCTCCAATAGCAAAAGAGGTATTCAATGTCCAAGTTTAATTACAACTCGTAATGGACATGTGATTATTATAACTGCTCCTCCCATTTGGAACAATGGTGGAGAGTCAGTTCCCATTTAAGAAGAGTTGATTAAGTGGACGATAATCCAATAAATAGGTGTAGAGGAAAACCAAGGAAAACTATAAAATAACCCATTCAAAAAAGACCTAGATCTAAAATGGCCTTCCTTAAAACTTGGTATTTGACATAACACAATGATGTTGTTTGACCCATGTAGCCGACTCTTTTTTTACTGTTATTTGTTATTATTCTATGAATTTTGTTTATTAAATGACTTTTTGGAGTACCTGAGCAAGGTAGTATGGGTAAAAGTGCCAAAAATACTAATAGTTTGAGCAGTATTCTATTGTAGGTGACTGTAATTAGTTTAGACCGATCAACTCCACATTTAGATATTCATTTGGTTATGAGCCAGGAAAACCAACCAATTCCAAAACCTCATGTTCACCCTACATGAATAGCTTATTTGTCAACCAATTCATGGTTTTCACAAGTTTTAGGCAGAAGATCCTGTTGGCTGCAATTTTTTGTTGCTGATGAAGTTCCCATTGTCAGGCTAATAGAAATCAAAAGCTGCTTAGAGAATCGTTGCACTAATGCACTGATAAGATGATGTTAGTAGAAATCAAAAGCTGTTTCTTGTCTAAGTTCTGTCTGGTACTTATTTCACTATTTTTTGAAATTTTCTTGGGCAGGTCTTGGGATGACCTTTTGTTATTCAAGGCCTTTTATAATTTCTCTGTTAACTAATACTTAATAAGATCACTGTGGACTTTCTGCAGATGTCTTAAAGAAGGTGTGGGACTTATCTGATCAAGATAACGATAGCATGCTTTCTTTGAAGGAGTTCTGCTTTTCTCTTTATTTGATGGAGCGATACAGGGAAGGTCGCCCTCTTCCACAGTCTCTTCCTAGTAATGTTATATTTGACGAGACACTGCTGTCTATGACGGGCCATCCAAAAATTACTTATGGAAATGCAGCCTGGGGTATAGGCCCAGGTATTTTCACTAATTTACACCGTCTTTGATATTTTCTTTTCCTTTTCTCTTGCAAGATATTTCTTGAAGAAATTTTTACTTTTGTTTGTCACAAGGTTATCTGCAGCAACAAGGGATGCCAGGTGCTCGGCCAATGGCACCGGCAGGTGGTTTGAGGCCGTCAGTGGAAGGAACTTCTGCCCGGGCTGATGGCACTATGCAGCCCAATCAGCAAAAGTCAAGTGTGCCTGTGTTGGATGATTCCATTTTGAATCACACAGATAATGGTGAGCAGAATATATTCAACTCGAAGCATCAAGAGGCCACAACTGCAGGGAAAAAGGTATTTGCTTTGCCTTTGTGGGTTTTGTCCATGTATTGTTGAGTTCGGGAAAGAAAGGTTCCAATCCATTGATTTTCTTTTTTTTTCCTTTGATGTTTGCGTTTTCTATTTGCGTGACGGAGGATCCCTTATTCTCCCAACTCTTTGTAATTATCCTCTCTTCATCTTAATGAATTTATGATTTTCATTAAAAAAAAAGGTTCCATTTTTTTTAAAAGATGGTAAAATTATGGAACTCATCTCTAAGCCATTAACTCAACCATATCTAATAAGAAATGTAATGGCAAAGAGACAGTTTTAAAAATATGCACGTTTCTCTCCAAACCAAATCGACCTAAGAACTGTATAAGCTGCACCCTGCCATAAAATCAAGCTCTCTTTATTTCTGTCAAATCCTTTCAAACGTATAACAAGAAATTGCTCCAATAGGAAGGAACAAGTTCTCACTCTTTTATTGCTTGTTTAGTATCCCCTTCAAAATTAATTATGGGGCTCATAATTACTTTTTGACCTAAAAAATTATGCTGCCACTTGTTAAGGTTGTTTGGCAGGTAGGCACAAAGTTAGTTTTTGCTCTCAAATATAATTTCTTAACAAGAAAATTCAATCAAAATTATGGGGCTCAAAATTACGTTTGTAATCCAAAAGTAATTCTGCCACATTTAGGAATATCTTCAATCAGGTCTATTTATTTGGAAGTAGTTTTGGTTCTCTTGCACATCTGAGACATTATAAAGAAAAAAATGTTTCTCTTTGCTGTTGTAGGCTGAAGAAACAGAGAATGTGATTTTGGATTCAAAAGAAAAGATTGAGCTCTACCGCAACAAAATGCAGGACCTGGTGAGTATTTCATATCTTGTTTCCTTTGAGTATTGGATTACAAGTATAAAATAAGTTAATCTGAGCACAAACTCAGTGTGATGGAACTGTGTAATTTAGCTGGAAGGACTGGTTCACTATGAAAAATAATGTAAAATGGGTCAATACTCTCAGTTGCATTTTCTGTTGCAGCACCACATTTTTGTTAAGTCATGATTATGTCTCTTTAATTCAATATACCTTGTCCAGCTAATAACTGATATGGGATGGGTTTGCAAATCATCCGACAGTGACTTAATGGTAGGGTTTAAGATTCTAGTTAGACTTCAGTTTGCAGTTTGGGAATTTACTTTTGGTTTGGAAGACTGGAAATTTTGAAGGTAAGAAGAACAATTTCCCCCCCTCAAGAAACTGTAGCTGGAATCATGAAGACAGTGAATAAGCTTGAGGATTATAACTTATAAGTGGGTAAAGTTAAGGATTTTATGGGTTAAAGATATATATATATATATATATATATATATATATATATATATATATCTGTGTGTGTGTGTGGAAATATGCAGCAAAACACGGTCATTTCACTTAAAATAACACAAAGTTGTATCATTTAAAATTGTAAAAAACCTTGGGATACACCAGTTAAGAGTGTTAGTGTTAATAGTGTAATAGTCCCACATTGAGTGTGTCTCTTTGTATTCTTCAATTGGTTTGCTATATAATAGCACCAATGTTGTGTAGTTTAATACAACAAGGATTACTATCATTTCCTCTTGTATCTATGATATTCAACATGGTATCTAGAGCCTAACAAGAGGAATCTTAATCCGTTTAACTTAGTTCTATTTTCCATAATTTCAACATGGTTATAGAGAGATATCACCCTCCTTGAGGGATTCCCGTTGCTATTTCTTTTTCGGGTTTTTCTTAGTATGCTCTGTGACTGCAGCTTAGACTGATCTGTCACATCAGAAAAGAATGATCCTTGGGAAGTTGTTGGGTTGACCACCGTTGTCGTTGACCGACCACCATTGACCGCGTCGTCCACCGTTGACAGCCGTCTCCGGTGACTTTTCCGATGACTTTCCGACGACTTTTTCGGCGATCCACCACCGTCTCCGACGACCCACCGCCGTCTCCGGCGACTTTTCCGATTCCGCGAAGCTTTGTTTTTCTTTAATCTTCTTTCTTCCCAAGATGGAGTATTTATACTATTCATCATCCATCTTGAGGGGGAGCGCTGTCCAAGTTGCTGATGTTGTCTCCGCTGATGTTAATTCCGACACCGAAGTTCCTCTTGAGGGGGAGCACTGTCCATGTTGCTGATGGTCATTCCAGCACAATTGTCTTTGCCGATGATAATTGCGGCACTGTTTAGAAGTTCCTCTTAAGGGGGAGCACTGTCCGGCACTGTTTAGAAGTTCCTCTTAAGGGGGAGCACTGTCCATGTTGCTGATGGTCATTCCAGCACAATTGTCTTTGCCGATGATAATTCCGGCACTGTTTAGAAGTTCCTCTTAAGGGGGAGCACTGTCCATGTTGTTGATGGTCATTCCAGCACAATTGTCTTTGCCGATGATCATTCCGGCATCTTCCATGTTGATGTTCATTTCGACGCCATTTTTAGCATATTGTTGATTTTTGGTTTCTCATTTAGGAGATTTATTTTGATGTTATGTTACTTGGTCTTTCTTGTAATAAGCTTGTAGCATAGTCAAGGTCAGTTGAAATGTCACGGCTGCTCACCAACATTTAAATGAAATGTCTGAGAGGGATCTTGATGCTGATGTCCTGGTCAGCTCAGTTGTCTTTGCCGATGATAATTCCGGCACCATCCATGCTCTGATGTCCATTCCAGCACTGTCTCTTTATCAGCTCTTCACACTGATGATCATTCCAGTTGATTTGTTGTACTTAGTCATTTCATTTCGTTGATGTAGCATTGTTGTTTTTGGTTCCTAATGGGAGTATTATTTATGTATCAAGCTTGTAGCATATGATCTATATGCTACAGCTTAAGGGGGAGTGTTAAGAGTGTTAGTGTTAATAGTGTAGAAGTCCCACATTGAGTGTGTCTCTTTGTATTCTTCAATTGGTTTGCTATATAATAGCACCAATGTTGTGTAGTTTAATATAACAAGGATTACTATCATTTCCTCTTGTATCTATGATATTCAACAAAAATGATAAAAGCTTTTCCCATATATATATATATATATATATATATATATATATATATATATATAAGGATTGAATGCTATGAATCTTTAAAAAAAAAAGAATCCGATGGGCTTGAATGAGTGGCAATTTATGTTAGGTTGTGCACTAACACTCTCCATCCTGCCCTCTTTTTATGGTTACTTGTATATCAGGTTCTATATAAAAGTAGATGTGATAATCGACTAAATGAGATTACAGAAAGGGCATCTGCAGATAAGCGTGAGGTATATTCCTTTTCTGAAAATGTTATGTAAGTTTAAGATGTGAAAAGAATTAGCTCTCATTTGGTGGCATGTTACAGGCGGAATCATTGCACAAGAAATATGAAGAGAAATACAAACAAGTGGCAGAAATAGCATCCAAATTGACTATAGAAGAAGCTAAATTTCGTGATATACAGGTAATTAGAAATTCTATATTATGTGTTGATAGATAGGCTATTTGTAAGAGGGGAGAGTTATTGACTATTTTGTTTGCACTACATTTTTATTGCATTATTGCTTACGTTATTGTTTAACGACCAACTTGACCATAAACTGAAGTTGTTGAGTGAAAGATCATGAATTGTTTTATTTCTAAAACACCCCTTTACGTAAAAGTCTTTTGAGCTTGAAGTACATGCAACTAACTTTGTGCTGAACTTTTACTTTTATTTAGAATGGGGCGACTCGGATCAAACTCGTGACCACTTAGTCATAAAAGCTTTAATATCATGTCAAAGACCACAACAGTTTAAGTAAAGGCTTATGAATAGTTTTATATCTAACAGTTAAAAAGTGGGTTGTATTTAGTTTTGTGCTTGAGCGGCTACACCTTGTAATCTTTGTTGATCTTGGTGAATCTTCTCTCTGCTTCGCTTGTGGAGTATGGATGTGTGACCTTAATTCACTTTTGTTTGAACCACCTGAAATTCCGTGTCTATTTTTCTTCTTCCTATTCTTCGTTTGAGCACTTTATTGCTTGTTCAAACATCAAGTGGAGATAAAGTTCTGTTGAATCCTTTCCCCAACCAAATGAAAATCCACTTCAATATGCTTGGAATCCTTATGGAACTCTAGTTTAAGAGGAAATATGCATGGGAGCCTGATTATTACACCACAATCTCATTGGGAAGGTTCTGGCAAATCTAATTTCACACAGCAAATGTCTAATCCTCATAATCTGACAAGTTATTAGTGTAATAACACAATAATCGAGTTCAGCACTAGATCTTGCAACTACATTCTGCGTCTTGCTTTTCCATGAAATTAGGTTTCTCCCCAACAAAGACACACTACTTGGTGATGGATTTTTGGTCATAGGAAGGAGATGTATACCAATAAACATCAGTATTGGCTTCAAGCTCCATATGCCTATGATTGTTGCATAGCCTTTCTCTGGAACCTTCGTTTAGTACTTAATTATACAAGTTTGGAACTTCCCAATGAGTGGTAATTGATTAACATATAACCTGACTGACAACACTCACTGGCAAAGCAATGTCCAGCCAGACCACGAATTTTTTTGTATCTATCTCTTTGGGTGACCCATCATCTCTTGTATGCTTCATGCTTGATTCCATGGATGTGTCAGAAGGTCTAGCTCCAAGCAAATCTAGTCTTTTTAAAAGTGAGGAAAATACTTCCTTTGAGACAAGAAATTATCTTTCTTGGATTGCATGACTTCTATGCCCAATAAGGTATTTAGATATTCAAATCCTTAGTGTGATTATCTTTCTTGGATTGCATGACTTCTATGCCCAATAAGGTATTTAGATATTCAAATTCTCAGTGTGAAATATGGTTTGAATTAAGTCTTTTTTAGAGCACAGATGCTATTCTTGTCCATCCAAATCCACTGAACCCCTCCCTAAAGAAATATTTTGGTTTTAATAATATTTAATTTCCTTTTCTTCCTCGTCCCCCCTCCAAAAAAAACCATATTGCACTTCATCTGTTATTTGTTTCAGATAATGTTACTGGCTTTTAGGAACTGATTCTTATGTTGGGAACTGGTCAAAAGTAGTTAGGATGATATATGACTGTCTGGAAACATTTTGATGCATCGTTTAACCAATAGTTGATACATATTTAGGAAAGGAAGGTTGAGTTGCAGCAAGCCATTGTCAAAATGGAACAAGGAGGCAGTGCAGATGGTATTCTTCAGGTGAGTTTTATTTCTTGAATTATGAGCGGGAGTTCTATGGAAACCTGTCTGTTACTCTGTTGCTGATGTTTAGCTAATTCCATAGGTTCGTGCTGATCGTATACAGTCAGATCTTGAGGAGTTATTTAGGGGTCTAGCTGAGCGGTGCAAGAAACATGGGATAGATGTGAAGTCAATTGCAATGGTTCAGCTTCCTGTTGGTAATTTTAATCTCATGTTGTCTCATTATGGCTTCTTTGTCAATCACTTAATTCTGTTCTTTGTTGATTCTCAAAGAATCACACTACAAATTAGTCATTTATTTTGACTTATTTTCCGCTTGCATTTCATGATTCTTCTGTAATTATAACAAATTGTGGAAACCTGTTCTTACATTTTTGGAACCTACATTTTTTTAAGGATCTTTAATTAAAATCAAGGGCATTGCATAATCAACTGACTGGTAAACTTGTATATATTTTTTTCATCTCTACTTGTTTTATGCAATTATGAATAGCTATTTGGTGAAGCTTCTTTTGTCTTGCGGTGACCTGCCATTATGGATACTTTATAACACTTGATTATGTCAGAAGAAAAAGGTTTAGAGAAAAAAGTGAGGTTCTGTTTAGCACGCGTCATTAGACATTTAGAATACTTCACAATGTTACGTGTATCCTCTCTTGGGACGTGAATAAGGGCCAGTGTGAGTGACTGAAATAATAGAGGAGTAAGACTTTTACTGCTGCAAGTTGCTGTAAGTGAATGCTCTTTTCTCTGTTTCTAACTTATGGGCATGTGTATAAATCTATTGAATTATAAGGTTGGCAATCCGGAATTCCAGAGGGGTCAGCTGTTTGGGAAGAAGATTGGGATAAATTTGAAGATGAAGGTATGCACATTCTTTCTCTGTACGATTTATTTATTTTTATTGAAGAAAATTATTTCCATTTTTTCGTGAAGTAATTTGTTTTATTCATTGCTTTGTTTACTTTCAGGATTTGCCAATGATCTCACTTTTGATGCAAAAAATGCATCTTCAAAACTGAAACCTGCATTCATTCATGGAGAACAGAATTTCCATGATGATAATTCACTTCATGGCTCACCAGCGAATGCAAATGGGAAGCAAGAAAATTCTACTAACGGTGATTATACAGTTGAGGATGAATCTTCTTATGCACACAGCGAAGATGAATTGGCAAGAAGCCCACGCGATAGTCCAGCTGGGAGGACTTCAATGGAGAGTCCTTCCCAAGAATTTTCAAATGCTCATTTTGAAAAAAGTTCCGAAGCAGATGCAGAAACACACAGGTAATTTGTTCTTTCTTTTTTTTCTTTTTGGTGATGAGTTTTTATTTTTTTATTTTATTTTGGGGGAAGGGGTGGGGGTTTGGAACATCTTTCCTAAGTTAGTTGACTTGTATATTTTCCCATCCTTTTTGTGTTCTCATGTTTCTTTCTGCAATGCGTGGCTTTGAATGAGTGCATTTAGCAATGTGATGATATTAATCTATGGTTAACAGAAGTTTTGATGAATCGACCTGGGGTGCATTTGACAATAACGATGATGTGGACTCGGTGTGGGGTTTTAACACTGTTAATACCAAGGTAACTAGTGCTATGCATTGCTTTTTGATTTTATTGTTGTTCTCTCTCTCTCTCTCTGTATTTTAAATCTTGATGTGAACCTAATTAGTCGCAGTTATTGAGAAAGAACTATATACTTACGAAAATTATTTTAAGATTATTTTTATACTGAATTTATGTAAGATATGCAATGGGGAACTATTTTTTTTTTCCTTATCTTTGGAATGGGTTTGTTGGCACAACTACAGAAGATGATATGCCATTTTCAAAGATCAAGTTGCTTTGATTTTCTGTGATACATAACCTTGCCACATTACAGTGCATTTTTGTAAAAAATAAAAAATAAAAAAATAATGTTAAGCTACCAGAATTTTTATGTTTGGTTCTGTAGGACTCTGACTCGGAGCAGCAGAGAGATTTCTTTAAATCTGGTGATTTTGGTATAAACCCAGTTAGAACAGGATCTACACATACAGATGGCACGTTCCATACAAAAAGCCCATTTACTTTTGATGATTCTGTGCCTGGAACTCCACTTTCTAAGTTCGGCAACTCTCCAAGGTACAGTGAGGCAGGCGATCACTTCTTTGACATGTCAAGATATGATTCCTTCAGCATGCACGAAAGTGGATATTCTCCGCAAGCAGAGAGGTTTACAAGATTTGATTCCATGAGTAGCAGCAAGGATTTTGGCTACAATCCCGACAAATTCACAAGGTTTGATTCCATAAGTAGCAGCAAAGATTTCGGCTACAATCCTGAGAAGCTCACAAGGTTTGATTCCATGAGTAGCAGCAAAGATTTTGGCGTTAGTCATCAGGGGCATGCAAGGTTTGACTCAATTAGTAGCACCAAGGGCTTCAGTGGTCCATTCTCTTTCGATGACTCTGATACATTCGGCTCCTCTGGCCCATTTAAGGTCTCTTCAGAGAATCAATCACCCAAGAGAAATTCTGATAGTTGGAGTGCATTCTAGCCTGCAATCCAACTTTCCCCGGTTTTTCTTTGCTGTTTCCATTTCCTTGATTGTTCATGATAGCCTATTTTTTGTGTATAGCTAGAAGAAAAGCTGGACGGTAGCATTGTATGGTATGACGTATGTATTAGTTTAAAGACAGCTTTTTCCAAGATTGTTACTATTTTTTTTTTTGGGGGGGGGGGGGGGGGGGGTAATGTGAGGATGAGTGTGTTGTGAGAAAGTGGGAGAGAGAGATATGGAGATGAGATTAAATGACTTGGTGTGTATGTAATACTTAGTTGAATGTCAAGCGCGTGCAAAGTCAGGCTTTCTTTTTCTGGGGGAATTCATTACATGCAGTTCGTGTATGTGACGCGTCCCAATGGCGTCTTGTTATGCATATCATTTCATTCTCCAGGAACAAAAACTGCACTGAATACATTCCTCCGCTAGTTATTTCATATCTGTAGTAAACTCTCGAGTCCTTGGTTGCCGCAATGACCATAAATCATTCATACAAGTGTTGGTTAGATGTGTTTACGTAGGTATCCCTAGGCTTTTTGATAGATCGAACTGTGCATCTGACGGCTGAATTAGCAATGCCTTATTGTCTCTCGATAAAATAATTAGGTAAAGATTAATCATATCCAAAACTAATACTATAAGTGCGAAATTCGCTTGAAATGATGACATCCCATTAACTGTTCAAGGGTAATGTAGATTCTCAGATACTACAAAAAGGGGGTGCAAAATGAAATAAGCACTATGGGGAACTTTTCAGTTTTCACCGTCTTCTGATAAATCAATAAATTGAACGCCAAAATTTTCCAATGCTAGGTCCCCGACACTGAACTCAGATTATTCACACGCGATGCAAATTCCGGCAGCCTGTGTAAGAAATTAATCACCACATTAAGCGCAAAAAAACTCATTTTCCTTACGAATCCCTCATTAAATCATTACTAAGTGAATAGATAACTTACCTTGTAAACCAATTGTTTTTACTTTTCTCTTCCTGTCTCTCAACTCCCAGCTTTAGGTGGAGGGTAAGATCAAAGGTTTTGCCCCCCGATTATGGGAATTTCATATAGGAAATTAATGTAACCTCTTATGATATTGCCACTTTTCCACCGAACTACGATTTGTTATTTGACACTAACACCTCCCATGGTGTTTGAAACTGGAGATACTAACATTTTTTGGTGGATAATAATTTTACAATACATTTTGATACCCTGAGGTATTAAAAATGTTTAAATTCAATGTTCTACATTTAACAGCCAGAAACCTGGTGTTATGTAATGGCATACCTAGTTCCTATCTATGTAGCACCGATACTGACACGGGACACGTGACACGATACGACACGACATTCCGACACGTTAATTCTAAAAAATAATAGATTTCGATACGTTAGGACACGTTTTGATATTAAATAATATTTTTAATTTATGTAGTGTATATTATATTTAATATTCAATAATTTAACAAAAAAATAAAACTAAACTTAAAATATTCATCAATTTCGCAAAGAAACATAAGATGTCCCAAATATTTATATTAAATGGTAATCGTAATTCAACGAATCTAATAGTTGAAACTAAAAACTCAACGCAACGCAACCTTTGAACTTTTTTTGAATTTTTATAATGCGTGTTGGACTGTCGGGAAGTGTCGGAGTGTCGGAGAGTGTCGGACACGACACGTTAGAATTTTTGAAGTGTCGGTGCTTCATAGATTCCTATAGAAACACTAACTTTGTTTAATTTATGTCAAATAGAAAACAGAGTAAAATATAAAATCAAAATATCTTATGCCACACACAAGGGTCTAAAGCATAGTTTTATCCAAATATGTCACATAAACTAATATTTTATATTTATTTTACTAGTCAGAATTGATTTTTTGTTTTCATCTTTGTTTCGTAATATATGTTACTTCAATAATATCCGGTTCGTATATACAAATAAAATACCATAATCTTGATATGCAATTGAAACAGAGAAATCCACAACACCATTCTAAGTTTGTGCATCCAAAATAACAATAAAAGAGAGATCAAATAGAGAGAGTCAAGGTTATCTATACCTGAAGGAATTGCTACTTTTCATTCTTTAGTATCTTCCACCTCTTGATGAAGTTGGTGATAAGAAGATAACAACGACGATTGCACATTTGCTATTTCGACAAGTGTCTCTAGTGCTGCGCAAAATTTCAATTAACAGAATGTGTTATATTATATCCTGGCTGTCAAGTATAAAAATATAAGCAGATGACTAAAACCACATGTGCAAAGAAATAAGGGTACTTAAGATCTCGAGTTTTGTTATCCACCTCTCTCAAATGACAGCTGGGTGGCTCGAAGCTTTGGGGAAATTAAAACACCAAAAACTGATAAGGACTTAGATCGCTCCTTTTGAACCTATAAAAAGCATTAACAAGATTTATGCTGAGAATGTTTGAAAAATCCGATTTTATAATTTATTCATCATATGAATCCATGATAGCAATGATTTAAGAAATTCCATATAATTGTACTTGTTAATATAAGAATATCTTGTTAAGAGAAACTAAAATATATAATAATGACAGAAAGTGATAACTTGTGTAGAATACTTACTTCATCATCATCTGCAGGTACTGAAAAGTTCTCTGAAATACCAAATACATAAGAAAATGAGAAATAGCTAACATGCTTCTTAAAGCATATAAGAATCGGATGACAAATGAAGTAAAAGTTTGTCCTACTGTGTATGTTTCTTTTCAGGATTAACCCTAATATCAAGTATATGCTAACATCTAAAGAAAAAGGTTGCATCATGCTCAGTACTCAAGTTCCCCCTTTCACACTGTCTACAGTCAACGAGAAAAACACACCATTTATTTGATGCATAGGGAGAATAAAAGCGTACCAGGAGATTTCATACTACTACAATCTTGTGGCAGCACATTCTCGTCTTCTAATCGAGTACTTTCATGTTCAGTGGATATCCATTTACGCAACATAAAGCATGGCTGTGTACCTATTGAGTCAAGTGCAATAGTTCATATGTTCAAACAAAGGTTCAATCTAAATTAATACAAAATACAAGTTACTACAAAGCATCATAAAAATGCAGGTGAAAGCATGTCAGTACACTAGGGATGATAAAAGGATACGAGTATGATCAAGCAGTTGCAACCATGTCCTTTACTATAAAACAACAATTTTACCATCATATTCAGTTATCTTCAATGTTGTAGCAGCTGAATGGTATTTCAGGTCCAATACAGAACTATTAATGCGCGAAGCACCCATGGCATGTCGAGCACTTGCTAATTCTATCCATCCCTGTTAATATATTAAAGATGGTTACCAAAATAAATAGGGCCTTAGCCAATGCATCATCTACTAACAGATTTCATAAAGAGGGTAAACATACTATATCAAAGCAAACAATATAAATTTTTAGTTGCCAAATTGCAGGGTCAACACCAGAGTTACTAATCAAATCAAGGTTGTTTCACGACCACTCAATGTTGATAGTGAAAAAGTTGTATGAAGAAATCCAACCAATATTATACAAACGAATTTTGACATTCTATTATGTAATGTTTTCTCAATCAGAATGGACAGATCAGAAAATTGAAATGAACAATGCATAATAACGAGAATATAAAATTTTCTGAATTTCTACAACTAAATCAGAATAAGGTTTTAACCATTCAAGCTCTTTTCAATGCATTGTTATGCCGACATCGTCCCTCCTGCTTAGGTGTTACTCTTTCAACTTCCATTCTCTTTCTTTTAAGAGTAAATACCATTTTCGGTCCTTAGCAAATTTCACGATACCCGTTTTAGTCCCTAACAAATAAAAATGTTATTCGTGGTCCCTAAGAAATTCAAAATGGACCCATTTAGTTAAAATCGTGCTCCCTCACAAATTCAAAAAAGACCCACATTAGTCCCTCAAAAAGACTAAAATGGGTCCATTTTGAATTTATTAGGGACTACGAATAGCTTTTTTATTTGTTAGGGACTAAAGCGGATATCATAAAATTTGCTGAGGACCAAAAATGATATTTACTCTTCTTTTAAACTCCGAATGGCGTGCCATTTTCGTTTTGAAACATGCAGGTCCGAGCAAGAATTGAAGTGTCAGTACTCAATTTTCTCAAAATATTGAAGGCATCGAACCCTGCCATCTCAGATTTGCCTTTGGGACCGACATCATCCCTATATTCTTAGATTCGATTATAAGGATTGGCTAAGTCACTATTTCAGCTGAATAAGTTCTAATCAACGGTTTGGAAATTGTTACCTTCATTTTCATTTTTATTAATCCCACATTATCTTTTCTTGGCTTGTTTTACAAACACAAATATATATATATATATATATATATATATATATATATATAAAGCTTAGTAATCCCAAGAAATGAACAGATTCAGAGAAAATTGAGCAACAGTCGAGTGAATCATGGCCTCTTGACCGAACTATCATGTATTTTTCTCTCCCATTCGGTATCTACAAGGTCTCTGATGAGACCTAACGCAGCAAAGGCCTTTGTCAGGGGTACAGACTACATATACAGTAATTCATTTTTCTTTAATTCTTTTTCCTTCCAAGAAATTTTACGTTTCTGAGTTATGAATTTCTCACTTGTAGTGTGGAAGGTGATGGAGATGTGCTATCAGATATTGCTTAAAGCTCTGCTAATTTTGATTTGAATTATGATCCTAGAAGCAGTTGATGAAAGTAAATACAATGAATCAAGAGAAGAAATCATAGTTTTGGAATGGAGCTATCAAATTATTCAAAGTCCTTCTATCGAGAGGGTTTTATGATCATTCAAACACTATAAAATTATCGTTATACCTGACGAAGTGAGGAGGAGAAAGCATCAACGAGGGAGAGGTAGTTATGCGATGAATCCATAAATTGCAAAACAAGTTTGTCATCAGCTCCAGGTTGTAGTCGTAGTTGTAGTTGGCGTCGATGCTGCTGTAGCTGTTGATCTTCTTCTCCTTCAACAATCTCCGGTTCCTGTTTTTGCGGTTCGTCTCCGTTTACACAACAATACTCTTCTTCCATCGAACTTCACAATAATCTCCACAGTACCAATTTCTCATTCTGGTAAAGTATCCCATCCTATATTCATTTTCAGATTCACAATTTCCCATTTTCTATTGTTAATTAATTACATTATCGCTTTTAATCTTGTAGATTTTTTTTTTCTGCGTCAGCAACAGGCTTTATATTAATTAATCTGTTTCCGAAAATATCATTTTTCAATATTTAAATATTAAAATAATAAAACTGAAATCCCTCTAATACCCTTTATGTTTAGCCTTGTTAAAATTAAAACCTAAATATTTCACAAAAATTTAGATATAATTTTGTCCTTGTGTTTTTCTTCAATTAGATTCAATATTTTTAAAAAATAAATATATGCTAACACAAGCACAAATACAACATAACATTAAGAATAGTGGAATGCCGTGATAAGAGAATCAATTTTTTTTTTATAAAAAAAAAAAACAAAGTTTGAACAACAATTATTGCAGTCGTAATTGTATATAAAGAAACACGTACGTACAACGCAAGTTGTATAAAATCTCATTTTTGAAAAGAAAATGTCTTCAATTTAAATCTTCGCCTCTGTTTATTTAACAGTTCCATTTATCACAATTTTATAACATCTAATAATATTTATTACTGTAGTTATAAAAAATACCAAGTGTGATTAAAATTAGATTGAGTAATGAGACTGAAACTAAGGAAAAAATTAAAAAAAAAATTATAACATCTAATAACATCACAATTATTGATTAATAATATTTTATAACATCTAATAACATCTCATTTATTACTGTATATAAGCTTTTTTTTTTATTCATAAGGAAAAAATATTTTATAACATCTAATAACATCTCATTTATTACTGTATATAAGCTTTTTTTTTTATTCATAAGGAAAAAATTTGGATAGATATTTACAAGCAATGTCTTAGTCTCTTGCGTTTTTTTTTTTTTTTTTTTAAATAAAGAGGGGCTAAGCCCATAAACATAAAGAAATTACAAATCAGAAACTAACAAGCTAGACATATTTCTAGCATCAGCAACTATAAGTTCCATCAACTGAGGAGGAGGATCTTTAAAAATCTTGAAATGGAGATTATTAGTCTGCCCAGCTTTAGCTAACCAATGAGCACATTTGTTGTTTTCTCTCTTGGTATGAACAAGATGAATAGTCCAATCTGCTTTTAACCATAATCTCAATCTGCTAGTGACTTGAGAGTCCCTAGGATCTTCATGCTGCTCCTTTAACATCTGGATGGCTTGGCTAGAATCACATTCTAGCTCTATTCTTTTTAACCCTGTTCCCCAAAGCAGTTCCAAACCTTTCAGTAATCCCCATAATTCTGCATCAAGAGGATTGCAGGAACCTAAATTACAATAGAAGCTTCCCAAAAAGGAACCTCAATGTCTTAGTCTCTTGCGTTTTAAATTACCAAAAAAGTAATAAATAATTAATTATTATTATTTTTTGCGACATTCATAATTAAAAATGTTAATAATTTTTAACACGCGTGCCTCCATGTTAATCAATTATTTTTTGTGAAGGCCTGAGCTTACATGCCTGAAATTGATTGTTGGAACCAGATTTGGACTTGTATAAAAGCTCGTTTAATAAAAAGGTCTCAGGTTTCAATTCAAAAGTTCGGCATTGAAACCTCTTAGGCTGACCTAGTATATTAATTTTTATTTTATATTTTTATACTTGTAATAGCCTCATTTCTCTCTCTTCTCAATCTATTTCATCCCAATTTATTAGTTAAACAGACTTTTTGAATGATTTTATTCTATATTATGTTGTTATGATATATACTGAATTTATGAATATTTATGGAATTACTAGTACTGTTAATTGTATATTCTGTTTGGATAAATTTTTATTGTGTTATTTTTTTTAAACAGGTTAAATCAGGCTTTTATTTTTTGTAAATAAGTCAGGTCACATGCCGATAATTATATTTATAACAGGTAGCAAGTTTGATCAAGCTGACATGTTTAAACACGAACTTAGTCTTTTTTTTTTTTTTTTTGATAACAAAACTCGACTCGGCCGGTTAACATTCTCGTAAGGGGTGATAGCAATTTTGCTAATAAATGTATAAAAATACTTACTAAGGAATAAAAAATAGTAAACAAATGTAAAACTAAAATATCAGAGTCCTAATTTTTATTTTATAATTTATTTAATACTCACTATTTTGAATTCCTTAATAAATATCTTGCGTTAATTGATAACAAAACCATAATAATAAATGAAACTTTGTATTCTTATTTGTAAATACTTTCTTTTGTGTGGCTAGATATATTTTAATATCCGTACATGTAAATGATTAATAGCCTTTGAGATGAGCGAAAGACAACCTGGTTTTGTTTAAAGATGATGAATAATGATGGCTCCACCTTCTCTATTTCCATTTGTCTGACCTGATGACTATTACCACCGAGTCAACCTTCTCTCTATTGCTGGAATTTGTATTATTTTTAAATTAAAAAAATATTATGAAGTGATTTTTTGCATTTTCTGCTTTGGTTTGTTGGTGTTTCTCTCTGAACCCAACTACACCTCCTTTTTCCTTCTGCTGTTCTCTTCCTGCAATTCAATCTCTTTACCATGCCACAAGATCAATTACGTTCGGCAATCAACTTTGCTTTAAGGGTTTTTGTTTAATTCTCAAACTAAATAGTAAAAGTAGGTTTTTTTTTTTTTTTTGCAGAGCTCCTTCGCTTCTTCTTAGAACTCGAGGACAGGTAAGGTTCTTCTTCATTAGCTTACTGTTCTTTGCAATTTTTCGATTTGTTTTGAGATTAAGACTATCTATTCATTTTTATTTTTTTTTATTTTTCTGTTGTCGTTTATCATCGCCAAACTTACTCTTTGCTCTGAAATAGTTTCTATTTTTGATTCAATCTGAATTACTTGAATGAAAATTAATTGAAGTCTTTAATTGGTAAGATAATTTAAATGAAAATTAAGCTGAACTAATTTGCTTCGCTCTCTGTTTCTAAATTAAGTGAATATGCAATTCTGGGAGATCTTTTTGATATGATTCTTAAATATTGATAATGGGTCATTGAAACTATTGTCTGATTTGTCATTTTCTTGCTGGTAATTTCATTGGACAAATTATTAATCGGGCAGTAACGATCAGAGGGGCTTTGACTTCGTTCGATTCACAATTTGACGAGTTCTTGCAGTTTCATTATTGTAATTAACTTCTGAAATAATTGATTTATGTTTCAATTTGAGCTGCTGATACTTTTCTTGGCATTTTAATACTGTATTCTGTGGTTGAAGATAATATATCTTAGCCTTAGCATGAAAATAGCTACAGATATTTATGTTGAATTTACTCTTTCTTTTACTGCTTTGTTGCTCTCGTGAACTGCCATTATTGTAAGCGTCTCAGCACTCCCTTAATGCTGTGTTCTTTGTGGCAATAGATAACTGGATTTAAGATGGCTTCAAGCTGGGATGGTAGTAATGACCCTGGTAGTCAGTCAGATGATAGCCTTCATTTTGAGAGGTTGCACATTGAGCCTATTTATGATGCTTTTGTGTGTCCTCTGACGAAGCAAGTTATGCGTGATCCCGTTACTTTAGAAAATGGACGGACTTTTGAACGTGAAGCAATTGAAAAATGGTTCAAGGAATGCAGGGAGAGTGGAAGGAAACTGGTTTGCCCTTTGACTCTGCAAGAATTAAGAAGCACAGAAATGAATCCAAGTATGGCTTTGCGTAACACCATTGAAGAGTGGACTACCAGGAATGAAGCTGCACAGCTGGATATGGCTCGCCGCTCATTGAATACGGGGAGTCCAGAAAATGAAACTCTTCAGGCCTTAAAGTATGTTCAGCACATCTGCCGAAGAAGCAGGTCGAATAAACACGTTGTGCGCAATGCAGGGCTTATACCAATGATTGTTGACATGCTGAAGAGTGGCAACCGTAAGATTCGTCATAGAGCATTGGAAACCCTAAGAATTGTGGTAGAGGATGATGATGAGAATAAGGTTGTCACAGGTTTGCTGATTATTATTTCATTTCCTTTCTAGTTTTTTGGTATCATCAGTGTGCCTTTGGAGATTCATGGTAACATCTTCTCTTCGCACTGTAGGAGTTTTTGGCTGAAGGGGACACTGTGCGTACGGTAGTAAAATTTCTTTCCACCGAGCTTTCTAAAGAAAGAGAGGAAGCTGTCTCCTTGCTATACGAGCTCTCAAAATCTGAAACCCTTTGTGAGAAGATTGGTTCAATCAATGGAGCTATTCTTATATTAGTTGGAATGACAAGCAGCAACTCAGAAGATCTTTCCACAGTTGAGAAAGCTGATAAAACATTGGAGAATCTGGAGAAGTGTGAGAATAATGTGCGGCAGATGGCTGAAAGTGGTAGATTGAAGCCTCTTCTGACCCAGCTTCTTGAAGGTGCTAACACTACTCTATAATTTATCTCACATCATACCGGTATTGTGTGGCTGGTTTTCTTACCATTTTATGTTAACTCTGAAGAAAGCCTAATTTGCTGGATCAGCTTATTATTATTATAAAAATGGTGTGCATAAGGTTTTTTTTATTTTTTTTGGGTTGTTGTTGTGTGTGAGGGGGGAGATTATTTCGAGGGTAACAAAAATTATATTTCTTGTATGAATATTTCAAGAATGACGTGAAATGACTTATAAAATGTTTCAAAGACGCTTCCAATTGAATATTGATATCATTTATGAGCTTATTATTTTTTCTACTTCTATGGCTGATTGTGGAATATCTTGGCGGAAAATAGCTTCTTAGCAAAAAATTTCCTGGTAGAAAATATTTTCAGTTGAAAACTTCTTATTCAAAATGATACATCACCTTATCATCTTCTAGCGTTTCATTTGTTCTAGAAAATGCCTTCCACCTCTAAAAGGTGAAAGTTGGTGTCCCCTCTTTAATAGGATTAGAAACTTGATGCTGTGGAAAACAAATGACCCTGTTTCCTTTTCTTTGGGCCTATGTTGATTTTCCAGCAGTGAAGAGGGTGTAAGATAGAGACCAGAACTATATGCATAATTCAAGCAATTAGAAAAGATATAATTGCAATGAAATATTGGAGAATGTCGCCCAAGATAAACTTGCACTGCGGAGGAAATTCAAATGTGTTCCATTTAGTTTTGATCAATTACTCGCATAAGCAACCTTAAATATTTGAGATCAAGATTTGTCATTTGCTTTAGAACTCATATTCCTACGTAGGTATCAGGCCTTTATCTTGTTTTCTCGTTAAAATGTTTGCAGGTCCTCCTGAAACCAAACTATCCATGGCTGGATACCTTGGCGAGCTGGTTTTGGACAATGATGTTAAAGTTCTTGTTGCTAGAACTGTGGGTTCATCTCTGATCAATATAATGAAAAGTGGTAATATGCAGTCAAGAGAAGCTGCACTGAAGGCACTAAATCAGATATCATCATGTGAGCCAAGTGCAAAGGTTTTAATAGAGGCTGGAATACTTTCCCCTCTTGTCAATGACCTTTTCGCAGTGGGTCCTAATCTGCTTCCCACAAGATTAAAAGAGATCTCTGCTACAATTCTTGCTAGTGTCGTGAATTCAGGAGAAGACTTTGATTCCATTCCACTTGGTCCTGATCACCAAACTCTGGTCTCAGAGGACATAGTTCATAATCTACTCCATCTTATAAGCAACACTGGTCCAGCAATTGAGTGCAAACTTCTCCAAGTTCTTGTTGGACTTACTACTTCTCCAACTACGGTTCTGAGTGTTGTTGCTGCTATCAAAAGCTCTGGTGCCACTATCAGTCTTGTTCAATTCATTGAGGCACCACAGAAAGATCTACGTGTAGCTTCCATAAGACTTCTTCAGAATTTGTCTCCTCACATGGGTCATGAACTAGCTGATGCACTACGTGGCTCTGTTGGACAGCTTGGTAGTCTGATTAGAGTCATATCAGAAAATACAGGAATTGCTGAAGAGCAGGCAGCGGCTGTTGGTCTTTTAGCTGATCTACCTGAGAGGGATTTGGGCCTTACAAGACAGCTACTGGATGAAGGTGCCTTTCTGCTGGTCATATCTAGGGTGACTGCCATCAGGCAGGGAGAGATCAGAGGAAACCGCTTCATGACGCCATTTCTTGAAGGTCTTGTCAAGATTCTTGCACGGGTTACGTATGTCTTAGCTGATGAGCCTGATGCCATTGCACTCTGCCGTGAGCACAATCTAGCAGCATTGTTTATTGAACTGCTTCAGACCAATGGACTTGATAATGTACAGATGGTTTCTGCTACAGCTTTGGAGAATTTATCACAAGAATCAAAAAATCTAACCACATTGCCGGAGTTGCCATCGCCGGGTTTTTGTGCTTCGGTCTTTACCTGCTTCAGCAAACAGCCAGTAATAACTGGATTGTGTAGGATCCACCGAGGGATGTGTTCTTTGAAAGAAACATTTTGTCTGTGGGAAGGGCAGGCAGTCCTTAAGTTAGTAGCTCTGCTGGACCACACTAATGTGAATGTGGTTGAGGCGGCACTTGCAGCCTTATCTACTTTAATAGATGATGGAGTAGATATTGAGCAAGGAGTTTTGGTGTTGTGTGAAGCAGAGGCAGTGAAGCCTATACTTGATGTGTTACTTGAGAAACGGACTGAAATTTTGAGGAGGAGGGCAGTTTGGGCAGTGGAGAGACTATTGCGAACAGATGATATAGCCTACGAAGTTTCTGGAGATCAAAATGTGAGTACTGCACTTGTGGACGCTTTCCAGCATGGTGACTATCGAACTAGGCAGATTGCTGAGCGTGCCCTCAAGCATGTTGACAAGATACCCAACTTCTCTGGAATCTTTCCAAACATGGCATAAATATAGACATGTTGTAGATGCTTCCCTGTGAAGCTGATAATTACAAAATTTGTGTGTAATTTCCTGTTTTGTTCGAAGCAGTTTTGGATTATCTATGGTTATCGTCTGCTACGCATTGATCCAACTGAAGTTGGGAATGTTGTATACAAATTATCCATTCTTTTAGGAGGTGTTCATTGTTGATCATGATTTTGTCGCTTTTTTTGACCCCCTTTGAACTGCACAATAAATGTTGTACCTTTGAGTAATAATAGTATTGATATGTCTGCCCCTGTCTTGGAATAGTTGAAAAAGTAAAATGGATCCCTAATTTCTTAAAAGGTTTAAATAAGATTTTGTTCCCTTGTAGTTTATTTTGTCATGATCTCCTCGTGAAAACAAAAACCTGCATATTCAGCATAAGCCACGTATAAAATGATCAGTAAGAATTTGAGTAACCATGATATGCATCACCTAGTCAAAATCAGTATGAACAGAAGTCAAGCTTGTATAAAACTCAGACTAGGGTAACATTTGAAGTACTAGGTTGTGGTGAAGATGCATGCTGGGAAACTTAACAGCAAAAACCGTTAGTTGCATAGAAAATAATCGTGAACTGGTTACAAACCACAAAATAAACAGCACATGCATTTTTATCCCGATAACTAGGGGAAAAAAATAACACTATCGTGTTGAGGAATAATCTAGAAGTGGATTAAAGATATAACAGGAAGACAACAAAAATTAAAACTATACTTGATATGGAGATAAAGATATAACAGAGTTTAGAAGAAATGATAAATAAGAAATATACAAGAAAGAGAAACTCATGCTAAAAAGGAAATTAAAAAAAAAAAAACTAAGAAAGTCAAGAAACTGACTCCAAGTTTGGATCAAAACCTGTGGTGAATTTGCAATCCTATTCTTTCCAGAGTGTCACGTCTTCTTTCATACTATATCACACAAAGATTTGAATTGTTAAAAATTGCTTGCTCTTTTATCAGTTTTTTCTCTGCGGATGAATATATCAATGATACATTGCGAACTTTCGATCACAACTTCCTAATAAAAATATTTATTATAAAGAAGGAAAAGAAACAAAAAATGAGGTCAAGTTCCGATCAAAGCCTGGGGGGAGTATCAGATTTGAAAAGCTTATAGATGAAATTGAATAACATTGTGTCAGCATTTCCAATGGCATACAAGGATTTGAATTGGTTTAGACTGTTCGAGCTAGAGAACCCTACCTAGCTTATGCATTTTGAAGATCCGACGCAGACTATGGACTCGCTTGAGATCACATTTCAACCCGAATTAACATTTTTCTTTATTGTTTTTACGTTTTGAAATAATATGGAATTCTTTTTAACGAATAACATCCATTACTATTCGTAAAATTGATATCAAAAGTCAAAACCGTTCTTATGTGTATATATAATGAATTTAAGAAACTAAATTGAGGTCATTTTTCATGATTCAAAAATTAAAATTGATGCTTTTTATATAATTGATCAATTAATTGATGTTAATTTTTTAAAAAACTAAAATAATGTTTTATGTACCTTTGAAAATAAAATAAGTATTTTTTTTATTAATTGTCTAAATTTAAAATATATTTTATCAACCAATGAAAATTTAATGCAGTGACAAACCACTCTATGATTATTCCATTTCCAATTTCCATTCAACCCGCTCTAAACAATTTCCCTTTTGCTAACTTATTGGCCATATATACAAAGGGTTCATCTAATCTCATGTTACATGAGAGAAGATATCTTATGTTGTAGAGACACATATGGTGGAGCCCACCATTTACAAAAAAAAAGAAAAAAGGAAAAAAGAGTGTTACAGTTTTTTATGGGTCTATAGGAGATAAACTACTCTTATGTTGTATAAGAGTAGTTTTTCCCAATACAAAAGGCTATTAATCAACTTTGATTTTCAGCTAAGTTCTTCGACATATTTCTTGCTGAAAGTATCCTCGCTCCATTGATAAAGAGTCTACAATCGACATTTTGTCATGTATAGGTTCCAACATGTATTAAATTTCATTGCAGAGGCCTAAATCATCAGTTAGAGATGCCTATATATATAAGATTTTTAAACTACAACGTAAAACTAAAAAGTCTTATATCATATTTCAAGAGTTAATTTCCGTCAATTTGACAGTTAAAGTTTATTGGATTAGATTAAAGAATCCACATAGATTCACAAGAAAATCTCTTGCAACTTTGCCCTTAGAAAATATAGGATTTAAGCGTGTGACAACGCACCTAATCATACATTATATACTCGTTTTCATCATTAAGCAAATTCCTTACTATGCCATTTTGAAAATTGAGACGATGTAATATCAAAGATAGAGTTCTCATTGACGAAACTCAAAAAAATCAAAGATATCATGTCTCATGCGTGAAGCCAACTACTACACTTTGATTGCAAATAGCAATATACCACATTCAGAGCAGGTTGATTAGTTCAACTAGTAAAATATAGAAGGCCTGGGCATAAAGAAGGTGAGAAGAATTCAACTTACAAAAAACATATTTCAGACAATCGACGAATAGCAAGAACAATATAGGTGCAAAGTCAGGGTGGAATTCAACTTTATGGTTGGTGTGAAATGAATTAAACAAAAAGAAAAGAAGGTACATAAGAACCACTGAAAGTGAGACCCGCAGTCCAGAGAGTTCAGAAGACTTGCCCGTTTACAATTATATGCAGCAAATACAAAGCAGGACTTACAGATCATGTTGCATCTCAAAACGACATAGAGGAAAGATTTGAGATTGTGCTGCTGAGCATACATGCGCAAAGGATTTCATAGGTGTAGGACAGCCACAGATTTGGTCAAGCATGAAGAACCATCCAGCTCATGAGTAACATGATTCCTTGAAATATGGTTCCACTTTGCCAAATTAGACACATCACATGCAGTGAAAAAATCCAACACCTGACCAAATATTTTGAACATCTCTACCCCAAAAATCAGGTTTTTGTCTGCCACAAAAACTGCATTCCAGTCCATTGGGGCATCAGGATGCACTGAAACTTCAGTCCAGGTATGATACATGAGATCTAACTCCCATAATTTTCTAACAGCCTTGTTTCGTCGCCCAATTTGACCATCCCCTTCACACCAGGACACTGAGAGCATGAAAAGTCGGCCATTAGAAGATACAAGTTTGGGGTAGTATTCATGTACACGAGGTGGGACCGGAGTGGTTTGAATTGAAAACCAGAAACCTCGTTCTATGTCATATGCTGCAAGCTTGTCCATCTTGGAATAAACATAAAACATCCTGCCACAAACAATTCCAGAACAAGCAACTCCAAAATCAAAAGGCAATCTCTGGATTTCAGTCCATTTATTTGATACAGAATCATATATTTCTCCAGATTCCAAAGGCTCATCCCAAGATCCCAGACCTCCTACAGCTATCAACAAAAACCTTTTACTACCCTTTGAGCTTAAATGATCATTTCTTTGTCTATGGAATTTGTATGCCTTTCTACCAGGCAAAGATGAAGCTTCGGACTCGTTGAAAGCAGATCCGCAATGACGTCTCATTGAGAGCTTATGAGGATCCTCATATACATCTGAAACCCCGCCAATCTTTGATCTTGGAAAACGCCGACTTTGATGACTTTGACAAGTTGGAAAATCCAAACTGACCTCAAAGACTCCTAATAAAGGAATTGATCTAGCATATTTCATAGATGGTATTTTACGCCAAGATTTTGTCAATGGACTAAACACCAGCACCCCTTTGTGTGTCTTGAATGGGCTCCTATCCACTCTCCCAAAGTTAGCCAAGCTAGAACATCCTCCAACAATGAAGATATCATCCAGTGTACTAGCAACAGAGAAAAAGAACCTTCCTCTGAGAAATTCAGCATCCATCCTATGCCATTGATTTAGAGACACATCCAATGCATGTATCTCACCAGAGCAAAAACCGTCTTTAACAGCACCAAAGAGAAACAACCATGGATTTTGATATGAACCCTCCCTTCTCATTTGGAGGAATCTAGGGGTGGTGGTCAAGGACCTCCACTTTTTGCACACAAGGCGAGCATTCATCAAACTTGTCAATGGGAGCCTAACCAAACACATTTCAAGAATATCATCAGGAAGAAAGATATGCATTCTACTGTTTGATATCAATTCTTCAAGTTCAGAATTCTTTCTGGCGTGTCTCCTCCAAAACCTGTCCTTCACCCCAGATGGGAAGCAATCCACAGCAGTTTCTTCAGGGCCACAAATCGGATTATATCCCTTGCCTTCTTCACTGGCACTAGATCTCCTTCTACTGCTCGAATCACCAAATTCATCACTAGTGTCAGCAGTAGCACCTACTTTGCAGCCCCCACCTCGACCATACAGAGTTAGGCATCTTAAAGTAACCCCCTGTTCAGCATCATCATCATCATCTTCCGCTGCACTTCTGTTATTCCTCTTCCTCAACTTCTGGCTGACACTCCTCACAAGACGCTTTGACACTCTCAAACTCTGTAAATCTTGACAAAGAGATTCGTCTGCCCCCAATCTTTCAGTAAACATTATGCTCACTAATTTTTCACAAGAAAATATACAAGACCTGTCGCTATCTTGCAATTTGCGTCTAGAGTAGCACACAAGCGCCTTCTATGATTCATCTAAAGAAAGAAAACTCGAGAAATTAGAATTGAGCATCGTCAAATAACAGAAACACAAACACACAGTATCAATGTTTTAGTAAACATTCCACATCTAACCCATATAAATTTTACCCTTAAAAACACTGCAAGAGTACATACATCAACGTAACTGAGAAAATAAAAAAAGAGGAAAACGGGATAGATCCTGACAAAAGAAAAAGAAAAAGATTTTTCCTCGCAAAGGCAATCAATGAATCCAGATCCTGAAGGGAGATAGATAGATATATATATGGTGAGAATTGCCAATTTTATATGAAATCGAAATATTACAATAAAGGCATCCAAGTGCAAGGGGAAATATGATATTTGTGAAATAATAATAATAATAAGAAAATAGGTAGCAGTGAGTGAGAGTGATGATAACAGTGAGTGAGTGAGTGAGTGATTACCTAGGCACAAGCACAAGCACAAGCACAAGCGCAAATATTTTCCAGACTAGAGAAGAAGCAAATTCATTCATATCATATAAGCATGCAACTTTCTGGCTTGACGAATCTAATGTATAACGGAAACTCTCATAGATTCCCTAAGGCGCCGGAAAGGGGAAAAAGGAAAAGGAAAAGAAGACTTACATTGCAATCCAATTGAAAATGAAACGAATCACCAGTTCCATGCTCGATTAGAAATGGTCATATTATACCTACCACCACATCCACGAAACACAACTTTACTTTTTCATTTCATGGCTCCGATTGGAAACAAAAAACAAAAAAAAAAAAAAAACAAATTAGCAGTAAACAACAATTTTGTGGCTTGGTTGGTCGGGACGGGTATTTAGTAAAGCGACTGCACCACTGATTAAAAAGCAACCCATCGGCCTCACCCTCTTCTTTTCCCATTTTCTTTCTTTTTTTATTAATTATTATTATTATTCTACTGCTGACCTTTTTAACTTTTTTCTTTTGTTTTATTTTTGCTTTATTTTCTCTCTCTTATATTATGCCTGCTAACATGTCACGTAATGATACTGTGGACAAAAAATTGTATCGTAATAATAGCTATGTTAACTCCAGAATTCAATTTCCCATGTGTGTAATTTATGACGCCACGTTTCATTTTAACGGTTACCATCCCATTTAACTACACAGCAGCCTGCAAGGCATCGTCAGTGTGTAACTGTATTTTTCTTTTTCTAACGGCAATATTCGAAGTGATAATAAATAGGAAATAAATTTTCTTATGTGTAATTTAATATGATCATGTCATATCCGTAATTTAATATAACTATGTCATCTAAAAGGATCTTAACCATTAATAATCAAATCGAGGTGATTATTGTGTAACTTGTCATCTTTATACTTTTTCTCTCTCCCCTTAATTTACCAATGTTATTAAATTTGACTTGATCATTGATCCGATCGAGATATTGGATCACCAGTTCAATCGCATGACCTGTTAAGTATATGTAAATCTATATTTTATATTAAAAAACAGTAAATATATTCAAATACATGTAAAAAAATAATACTAATTTCAAATATTTTAATATAAAAATAATAAATCATACATCATTATCCAATAAAGGATCAAACAAACATACAATGTTTGTAATACTGGTGCTTTAGGTTTAATGGACAACATCTTTAACCATAAATTAAATCAAAATTTCATGCATAGTACATAACTAAAATAATGTTAGTGTAGTAGGTACATAACTTATATAAATCATTAAACAACAAATCACTTAAATATTTTAAAAGAAAACAAATCATTTGTGAATTTAAAAAAATGATATCCTTGTTATCAAAAAAAAAAAAATGATATCTTTTATGGATTTTTTTTTGTGAACCGACTGGGTCACCGATTTTCACCAAAATCAGCCGAGTTGCACTGGTTACAATGTTGTTTCACCCGGACCAATTATATGATTAGTTACTGGTTCTCGAGTCAACCTATCTAGGCTTGTCCGGATTTATCAACAGTGCTTATTAACATTAATATGTTAGAATTGTCCCGCATGATAATTAGCACTAATAAATATTAACAATTTAGTCCTAAATTGAGAAAAACTTTAAAACTTACCTTTGAAAAAATTCAAATAGAACAATAAGTTGTTCAATGGATCCATGACCAAGGATATAATGTGATAGGGTCACGATGGACAAGGAAGCTTCAATGGAATGAGTTTGGTGGTAAAACTCCATCACTAAGTTGTGGATTTGTATATGTATTATTTAATATGATTATATTATATAAGAGGATTTTAAGTATCAATGAAAAATTAATAGTGATAATTTTGTAATTTTCTGTCATACGAGAGGATCTTAATCATCAATAAATAAATTATCCATGATGATTTTGTATCTCTAGTTATATGAGAGGATTTTAATCACCAATGAATAAATCAAGGATAATGATTTTGTAATTTCTTATCTCAATATTTTTTTTTCTCTTCCCTTGTCACTATTGATTTGCTTCTTTTTTTTTAAATATTCCAATCGGTTCATTGCTTTGCAACTAATCCGATTCGGGGCGGGTCCAGGATTAAGGCTTTAAACCCCTCCTAAAGGTGGTACTGGAAAGATTCGAACACATGCTCTCACCCCCACCTGCTTAGCTTCCATGCGCCAACTGAGCTACCTCCATTTGGTGATTTGCTTTAGAATGATTAAGATCCTCTCATATCACATGATGCGATTATATTAAATAACACTCGGAAAAATTCACCCCAATCTAAAATGGAAAAAATGTTTATCTTTTTAAATGACACAACTTATATCATTTCACTCTCACAAAGAGGTGGAACCCATACCTCTATTTTTTTGTCAACTCTCTCCTCCTTTATCTAACTCTTTCTCTCTCTTAAAATGACACAATTTTACGTTCTTTAAAATGACACATACTTTTCCCATCTAAAATTAAGAGAAATGGTTTTCTGAAAGGTGCAACGGGCCAGGTTAAATAAGGCCCAACATTATTCAAATCGAAGAAACTAGTCTTCCAGTCTTTTGCAAGGTTGTAACTTGTAACACGAGTTTGGGGGAAAACACTACCCCGTGCAAGGTTGTAACGCGAGTTTGGGGAAAAACACTACCCCTCATCACCTCAGTGCTACAAATATAATTCAAATCACCAAGCAAGATCCAATTGGAATAAAACTTGAAGGTCGTCAAGTTAATGCAGTTTCATCTTGTAAGTTGAAACAACCTTGTTCACTTTTAAAAGTTTTTTTTTTTTTAATTTTATCACCTTAAAACCTTTATTAGATATTTATACTTGCCTGTGCAAACTTTTTTATTTTATTTTTTACTCACCTTAAGAATTTTCGATGGTGGATGTAGAAATGCTCCAACAATGGACTAAATTTTCACTTTTTTATTCTTTGGTGTGTGTCTTAAACACGTTAAATAAAAAATTGCGTGCTCTAATAGCAATGAGATAATTTTTTTAGTACAACGGAGCTTCTACTAAAAATATCAAAGAGTGAAATTCATATTGCATGTTGGTAAAATAATTACAGTTAAATGTGTGTGTGTTCTCTATTTTATTTTTTTATTTTTTTCAATTTTAGCTAGCCACGTATTGAATCTTTAATGTTATGGGAGTACTAATGATATTTTCAGCAATACGCTAAATTTAAATTTTTATCCCCTTTCTTATATGATATAGGACTTAAACATGTTTGAACAATATTGGCTATCAACAATTAAGTATTTATACGTGTGCCCAAACATTTTTTCTTCGTTAAAGTGTGTTCTTAGTGTACATATTTAAAAATTAAAAATAAAACTACTAAATATAAATAAAAAGATATATATGATCTTTTTTAATTAAAAAATTTAATATTTTTCCTATAAATAGGAAATAATATTATTTGATATAAATAAATAAAAATCCTATGAATAAAAAATAATGTTGTTTTTGGGAGAATATTAAATTATTTTTATAATTATAATTTATTCTAAAGTTATAATAGTCTTTATTATTATAATTTTTTAATCTTTTAATCTAAAATAACGTCATTTTAAGAATAATTGTATTCTACTTAATGGTAGAAATATTAAAGCTTTTAATTTAAATCCATAAATTATTGACTTTTAAATTCTTCAAAAGTATTGAACTATTAAAAAATTTAAAAAGAGAAGGGTTACATTTATAACTTTTTTTATTATTTATAATTCTTACAACATGAACTTTGTATTCTAGGAATACACTCTCAAATATTTGTATTCCTCCTAATACATAATACATGGTTGAAATTGTAAGAGTTATAAACAATTTTTTTTTATAAATATAACTTGTACCATTAAAAAATATTGAAAATATACCAATTATGATATTAATATTTTTTATCTTATAAAAAATAATTTTATCTCTTACTTAGGAGGCTGTACTTTTCTTACTCTCTTCAGAAATTACCTATATATTTTATATTCTGAGGGAGGATATTTTGACTACCAAAAGTTTTCACTATCACCTTACTACCTATCTAATCACTATTGGATTAACATTTTCTCTCTCTTCAAAAACTTTTTAACATTCTCTTTAATCCAATAATAATTTGATAGGTAATAAGATGGTAGTGGACACTTTTGATAGTCAAAATATCCCCCGTCGTATATTTTTTGGGTAGGTTGAGAAGGCTAGAGAGAGAGAGGTTGGATCCAGCAAAAGTAATTATTAATTACTAATCAGCAAAGCAGGTAGAGGAAGAGGGAGGGCCAGAGAAGAAGATGATGAAGATATCAGGGTCAATGTCGTTTCTGTGTCTCTTCCTACTCATCGGAACGTTAGCGCCATCTGATGCCGTTGATGACAAATGTGCGGCCTGTAAAGCTGTCGCGGTATCTTAACCTCATTTTCTTCGTTATATAATTTGATCCATCTAATTTATTTTTATACAATATATCATATCAGATGATATACCATTCTGATTGTGGTTTGCATCTTGCAGGAGGAGCTACAGATTGGGCTTTCCAGTGTAACTTTGTTTATTTCAATTCAATCATTCTTCGTTTTATGATCGATTCGAATCCTTACATTTAGATTTTGAGACATTGTGTTTCCACAGGAGAAGCCTCGGAATCACTTGGATATGCGTCATCGCTTGGACTCCAAGGGCCAGCGTAAAGGAAAGCTAATCGATTACAGGTATTATAAGCCTCTCTATGCCTTCAATTTCAACACCTCTCTTAGCTGCTAGTTCACAACTGAATACTCTACTTCCTTTTTCATTTTCAGAATTCAATCTCACATCTCACACTGAAACATTTGGTCTTCTCATTTCTTTGCGAAACAATTATAATTACATCTCTGTATGTTGATCTCTCAGAGGAAATATGCATTTATTCTACTTAGTTACTGGCATCTAATGACTATATAACTGTGAAACTGTTTTTTTTTTTTTTTCTTCAAATGTACAGAGTTAGCGAGCTAAGAGTCGTTGAACTTCTTGATGATCTTTGCGAAAAGATGCAAGACTACACATTCAAGGTGCTTGCTTATCTTACTTTCCATTGGTTCCTTATCTTATCGGCTTACCATCTATCTGTTCTTCTTCACAGTTCTAGTTTCTAAATCTGTAGCTATTTGGTGAGTTCATATTCTGTATGTAAATTTAGTTTATCTGCTCTGCCTCTAGGTAAATGCATGACATACTTCTTTATCTGCTTCCACTTCTATGGCCCTTTGATTCTGCTACGTAATTAGATAATTCTAGAATGGGTGTTATTGGAATTCTTTTTCTATCTATTTTTGCAGATAAACACAAACACAAATACATATGAATGGTTCAAAGTGGATAACTGGGATAACCTCATAGCAAGTATGTACTCTATTTCATATGCCTATGATTAAGCATGCTTGACTTCGTGCAGTTTCTCCCTTTGTGTGCTGACCAATTCAAATATTTCCAGAACTGTTACCTGATGGATTCTTCAGCCTTAATAAAAACATATTAAAGTTTTTGTGGCAAACAACTGAGTAGCATAGTTAAGAAAAAACTATGCTATACCTATCTGTTCTATTATTTGTGGGCTTTATGATACTCAACATAGCCATGATATATTAAAACAATTAAAAGTGATGAGAAATAAACCATCACTTTGCTTGTTATGTAAGAATGAATATGGTTTGTGATTATTCATAAAATTCACATATACAGTACAGAAATATATTCTATATTTAGGATTTTGATTGCTTTGTCTCCAAAATCAGGAATAGATAGCTGTAACTTAATTGGATTAATCCAGTTTTTCAGAAGCATGTTTTGTGAGATGTTTGCATGATGATTTATCAATATATCACTTATAATGCGAATTTCTGGTTTTGAAGTCCATATTTCACCATGTGGCATGTATAAGTTATTAAGGTGAAAGATTTTAATTCCTTAATGAGTCTTGTTAACATCACACTACACTAATCTCTGAATTATTTCAGTTTGTTGCACTGTAATGCTTCTTCCAGTATTTAGCATTTTAATTGCCTTCTTCTTCTTGTTTTTTGTTTTCCTTTTTTTAATGCTTTTGCAAATGAATAATTTAGAGGTTTCTTTAATTCTCATCAAAGTTTCTGAACTAGTATTCTATTCTTCTATTGACAGATAAGCAAGAAGCTCGGGCATTTTCAAAGCATATATCTTCTTATTGTGGAAGGTAAGAGACAACTAGTTTTATGTTTTTAACTCTACATATTTTTTATTTTTTTTAACTGGGATATTTATGGCATCAATGCTTTGTCTTTAGCTTTTGCAACAAGTGATTTTTGAAACTTGAGTACTGTAGTTGTGTACTAACCATCATATGTACTATGACCAGATTACTTGAAGAAACAGAAGATGAGGTGAATTTTCATGTTACGATTCTTCTACAGTTAATGTATATACGTTCATCTGCATTATATGGTAATGATGAGTTATTTCTAATTATGCCAAGCCTTGCAGTTGGCTGAATTGATAAAGAAAGGATCTGTTAAAGTGGGAGAAGTCAGCAAAGTTCTTTGTCAAGATTTGAGCAAACATTGCAGTCAAACGAGGTAACTTAAAAATAATTTATCTTAGCTTAGTGGTTCACTTGATTAGCCAGGACACATTTGTTGAATTCTTGGTCTACAATGAGTTTTTGGGTATCCAATCAGGTTGTATTTTCAAAGATCATAGCATTGTTTATTGATCAGGAACATCCTAACTTGCTTTTAGCATTACTAGGAGTCAGCCCTCCCGCTCTGGCTTGATCCTCCTAATCCTTATAGGAATGCGTTTGTATGTATCATAGATGACCATTGATCCATGTAGGATAGTTTCGCACTTGCTTTACGAAGCTGTTGCTGCTCTCCTTGTCATTGTTATTATGTAGAGTGAAATAAATGTATTTGCCTCCCAAAGGTTTTGAAATGTTACAAATACTCGAAAAAGATAAACCACAAAGACCTTCCTAAGGGGGAGTATTAAAATTGAAATTCAAAACAACGGAGATTTTTGTAATTTGCCCCAATTTCAGTCAAAAGGTGTTTGTAATGTTAACAGTTGATGCCATTCTTAAAATGACAGCATATGGAGATAACTGAAAATGGTTATATTCATGCAGTGTATCACACGAGGCAGAGGACGACGTTGATGATGAAGATCATGGGGAGCTCTAAAACCCTGGATATTAGGGTGGCCGGAAACATATGCTTTAAGGTAATTAAAAATTAACAGAAGGCATCCCAAAACTGATGGTATCGTCCATTTTTTAGTTGGAGTTTGGATGAACTTTTTTCTCATTACAAACTAAGACTTGTTTGACGATGTGGGGGATCGAACTTTGATCTAGTAGTTATTATGACTTCAGGGTTGTTTCATGCACTCCATTTTTTTAAAAAAGAAAAGATCTCACAAATTATCATAAAACATAACAAAAGTAACAGATAAATTTACATCCATTATTTGATGTTTGTTTTGAGAGGGCCTATTGTTTGTCTTCCGTTAAATGTTACCAATAGCCTTTTATGACTTTGACGGAGACTGTTAATTTGTTATTGCTTGGGCTATATTGTGAAAATGCTTCATTCATATCCGACCCCAACAGGTATTATTAAACTATTTAATCTGCACAGGTCCGGATTCTCTTAAAATGAGGTTAAAAATAAATTCAAGAATAATCTTTAAAAATGAAATAAAAAATTTCTTCAAATTTCGTGGAAAACCTGAAAGAAGTTTTCTGTCCGGGAGCAAAAGCAGATGCGCTGTGTGTAATGTCAGCGTATATCTTTAATCCCTTACACGTCAAAAGAAAATATAGACAAGGGGAAAGCATCGTACGCCTATCACGTATATCTTACTTGTACCGTTCGTAAGAGGAAAGGAATCGCGAATGTCGCATATCACCCATGTAAACTAATGGTCTATCACTTTTAAAAAGAAAAAAAAAAAGTTGAAAGGGAATGTAAAAGAAAGGTGAACAAATAAACTAGATTTGAAAGAAATCGGAGCAGCACCAGATGACGAACATACCCCAGCAACTTACACGCATCAATAATTTTATACACACAATATCCATCCATCCTTTCTAAACGTAAACAATCATCATGAACTAATACTAACAGTCCAATACACCCTTAAGTAAATTGAGGCCTTCTGCTGATATACTCCTCCTTACTCGAGCAGGAGGTGTCTCTATCCTAGGAGGAGGATCTGAGGAGAAACATACCACTATAACTGTTAAATTATCACACGAGTTACGCTTCAGAGCCTCTCTGACTAGCTCTCTTGAACACCTTTGAGGATCATTATGTATCATCAATTCTTTCCTTGCCATGGTCACAGCACATTGGTTGCTCATTACATCCCACAGGCCATCGCAGCCCATAATCAAGAACTCATCATCCTCAGTCAGGTGGATTTCCTTCAACTCTGGTTCAGCACTCAAAGGGCAGGCAGAACCCTTGAGACCCTTCATGTGCCAGTCTCCCAAGGCACGGGAAACAGATAACTGGCCATTCAAGTATCCATCGTATACCACTCCACCAAGTCTCTCAATCCTTAGCTTTTCCGAAATGCAACTTGGTTTCTGGTCTTTTGACATCTCAATTGCTCTACCTCGCCTCCCCAGCACAGCTCGACAATCCCCAGCATTGGCAATTATCATAGTCCTGTCAACGACGCATTTTCACAACTTAGAAAGATAACCAACAGAAAATCATACAACAAGATGAATTCGCAATCTATACAAGGGACAATAAAATGCATTTTGACCCCTCATAAGTTTCTTTACCCAACTTTTTGCCTTCCATCTCCAAAGAGAAAAAAATTTCATTTCCCTAGTTTCTTAGATTTCTTCTATATAAACTATGATTAAATAAGTAAATGCCACTATAATGTTACCGAATGCTGACAATGTGGTCATGTCCAACTTCCATTTGTAAAATAATAAGATCTAACAAGCAATAGGCAAATAAAACTTGCCAAAATCAATGAAGCTGATACGGAATCATGGAAACTAAAATAATCATAAATGGAAGCTCACACTACCTTCCAAATACAAGAGCAGTTAAAGCAGTGGTGCCAGAGGAGATATCTAGCGAGCTAGAATCTGCAAATGCATAATCAGCTCTTAGAAACGCACTTGTAATTGCCTTCCCCACGCAAGTTGGAAAGTGAGAGTCCTCAACTATGAATCTGAGGATGTTATTTCTAATAAATGAAGCTGCGTCTGTACCTCCATGACCATCAAACACCTGAACAACGAGTACAGATGGATCAACTGTTGAACTTAACATGCAAACAGTAAATAGAGTCCGAACCTCAATTTATGAGCAACCAAATCCATGAAATAAGACAGTATCTTTTAGAAAAAAGTTCTGTGTCCTAATTTTCAGCAATGGAAATTTGTTATGCAAGTTAAACATCATCCATAATTCATCTCATGAATACAATAGGAGCCAAGAAAGGAAAGGTTGGAATCAAAGCAGTAATTATAGAAAACAAATAATCCTAAGAGGGTAAAAAACATGTGTCCCCTTGTAACTTGTACAGACAGGTATTAATGGAAAATGAGGCTTTATCATCATAGCAGATGCATGTAAACCGTAAAGTAAGATAAGAACACTACTTACTAACCCCATAGAAAGCTCCAGGTAAAGGAATATTTGATTCTGAACCCATATGCTGAATAAGATTATCTATACATATGTGTTCATCTTCCATATATTGTTTAGGTCCTATTTCAGCACAACTTCCTGACCGAAATATGGGTAGAAACTCTGTCTTGTCTTCAGAAGATGCCTCGCTCTCAGTAACCCCAACATCCAAACTCTTAAAAAAGGGGAGAAACACAGACAAATTAGATAAACCACGCTTTCCAAACTACTATGATAAAGGAAAGTGAAATATTGTTGTTAAAAAGGAAATGAAGTTCCATATGCAGTTGGAAAGAATATTCAATCTTCACGGCATTTAAGTTCGGGTTAGTTTTGAGAAATGAATTATAATGATTGACTAAAGCATTACAAGAAAGCAACACAATTGTAAGAGGAACAGAAAAATAAGATATAAAATTAGCTACAAAATTGTACCTAGCAACAAAAGACAAGAGTAATATCAACAAGAGAGAGCACAAAAAACATGACATGCCATTAACTAAAGAAGTTATTCAAACCAAAATGTCAAAATATAGTGATAGAAGATTAACAAAATACCCAACTTTAAAAAGATCTAGCTGATGAAGATTAGATAAACTAACCAAATCTGCTGCAGCCACCAATCTAGTGGAGCTAAGGCTGTGTCTCAAACTCGAGACATGCAGTGGAGGTTTACCCTTTGTTATTGGTTTTAGATTATTATCCAATTCTCCTGCTTTCTCATCTTCAACCACGAACGCATTGCCTTTGTTGTAATCGCCTTCTAACATCGTAAATGGAGGAGAAAAATCCATACCCACAGGCATAGTCGCTCCAAAATCATATATATAAACCAATAATTACTTAAACAACAACCACAAGATGATCTTTTCCCAAAATTATGCGTAGTATATATTTCACAGTCATATAAAGTCTATCATCAACTGAACACCCCCTACTTTTGCGGAATTCAAGGATCCCAGGAACTGTATTGTATGGTCTCAAAAAATCCACAACTGAAATGATTCAATCCTGAAGGATAAGTTAAACCAAAGCAATGATTCGGCCAGAGAGAAGCAAACTTGGGTGAATGGAATAATAATATATGAATTCCAACTCTGCCACAGCCACTTATTTCTATTGATTATTGAAGAAGGTATCAAAAACCCGTGACAAGTACAAAGGAATGATTGGATCCAATATTCTAATTCTAATTATGGAGTAAAAGATAAACTCGCAGAGCACAGTGTTGAGTTGGGGTTATAGGAAAATGGGGGAAAAAATGAAACTTTAATAGCAGGGAGGGAAGTAGGTAATAAAACAATAAATGAGATGCTAAATTTTCATATAGATAGAAATGGAAATTGAGGGTGTAGCCGTGTAGGCACCGAAAGAGGAGAAATTTGCAGTTGAAGCAAGCATCCACGTCCACAAGCCAAGAAAACCAAAAGAGTGAACCACCTAACCCCCAACACACTTTATCAAATCAAAATAGTCAAATAAGATAAGAAAAAGGAACAGTGTTGAAGATGATGAAGGATAAAACCTACTACACAAACAAAAACCCAGAAACAAGAACCAAAACTACGTACGGTTTCGCGTTACCACCGGCGATTCCAGGTAATATGGTGGGTATGGTATGGCGGTTCAGGATGGGTAACATGGACACGTGGAGTATTTTGATTGGGTATTCTGGATGGCCTTGAGTTGATTGCCTTCTAGCCGTTAGATCGTGTTATAAGGTAAATGGACGGCCCAGCCTTCATTTGTCCTTTTAAACGTGCGAGAGCCGAGAAGTTGGGTTTGGACGGAGTGCCAAAGGAAAGGGAAAAAGCCTCGGATTCTCTAAGTACACGCGTTTAGAAATGATTGGGTAGTAGTGAGAACAAGAAAAAAATAATAATAATAATAATTTGCTTTGCTTTTCGATTATCCTTAGGGTGTGTTTGGTATAAGAGAAATTTTTTGGTGACCGGGAATCATGATTAATGGGAATTCAGTAGAAATTGAGTTTACTTGGAATCTCACGAAAGAGGTGTTTGGTTCGCCAAAATATTACCGGAAATATTGGGTAAAAATTACTGATTCCATATTTGGTTTAGAACGAAATATGACTTGGAATATGAGGTTATTTTACAAAAATAACCCCAAACTATTTTTACTTTTGTAATTGATAGATTGGGTCTAGATTTTTATGTGTATTGGGGTATTTTTGTCTCAAAATTTATTGTTGTGCTTTCCCTTTACTTGGTATTCTGATTGGTATTCCCAATTACCATATTATTTTTGGTAATCTGAATAGTGACTTTTCTTTATAAATGAAATTACCGGTAATCCTTGGATATCCGGGAATCGTAATTTATTCCTCCTACCAAACGTGGTAATTACATTTACCAAAGAATGATTACCGGTAATCGTCTTCAAAAACTTCAAACAAACATCCCCTTATGTCCATGAGTACATAGCTATTCCCAATTCTAAAATTAAAAAAAAAAATATATTTACAATGTTGAGATATATAGTCCACGTTGATTGTATGTACAACTAATGTGGAGTTTACAAAGCCTTAGGCATTCTCATTCTTTGAGCTAACTTTTGGGGTGGTGGATTCCAAGTTTCTTTACATGGTATCAGAGTCTCGCCGCCCCCACTTTCTCTTGTGGCGTTTCTTAGCACAGGTAGGCTGGGCCTGTTGCATTGTCCACTCTTCAAGTCCAATGTGAGATATATAGTCTCACATTGGTTGTATGTGCAACTAATGTAGAGTTTATAAGGTCTTTGACACTCCCACCCTTTGAGCTAGCTTTTAGGGTAGTGTATCCAAGATTCTTTATATGATATCAGAGCTATGTGTCTCGGATTCGATCCTCACACCGCCCCCCCCACTTTCTTTTAAGTGAAAATTCTTAAATTCTTCCTTCGCACAGGTAGGTGAGCATGTGCATTGTCCACCCTTCAAGCAACAACTTAATGTAAAATTATTAATGTAATCTCACCCAACAACTTAAACTTTTGGATTGAATTGATTCTTTTCATATAAGATATCTTTAAAAATGGTTAATTGAATGATAGCGGGTGCTTCGTTGAAAATTTTATCCTTTTTAAACTGCATCCTCATCATTTCCGCTTTTTTCCTCTCAAGCATAAGCTAGCCATAGCATATAGCATAGCTTAGCTCGGGCGAAAGTTGAGATATGATGTTGTGTGCTTGTTCTTTTGGGTAACTTGAAAGATACATTATATTATATTGATATTATGTTCTATGTTACTCATGTCTTGTAAAATTCTGTCCACTCAAAATCTGCAATTTGACTGTTGAATGGGAAATTATGTCACTAAGGGATTATACGAAAGTATTCACGCAATTAATGATAGATAAAAATTATATAATAATTTTCGGTTGAAATTGGATTCAAAGGAACCACTTACAAATCTTGAATCTAACGTCATTCATGACTTGAATTCACGTAGTATTATTGATCTTTTGAATATCTAATACTCAAATCATTAATGTGTCACTTGTGTACTTGTTTACACGTCCCTTCATTTGACGGCAGCGTCAGTACACAGGCATCGGTATTCTTATGTCTCTTGGTGACTCAACATCAGTTTATGTTACTTACACGTATAATTTTTCACAGAATCTTTTTCATAAATTACTGAATAATGATTAGATTTCATTTCAGTTCTTTTGATTGACCTTTATTATGCATAAAATCTTGCATGGGTGCACAACTATCATTATTTCTGCAACCTGCTCAACATCGATTCCCCCTTCTTAAAAATAAAATAATAATAATAATAATTATTTGTGATTTCGATCCACTCTCGTGAGGGTTTTTTACTTATTCATTTACTCATTTGTACGCGACACTCGCATCATAAGGGAGCATATAATATTCCAGTCACCTCACTTTATAACAAATCTCACTTTTTCTCAAGTTTTTATTAAATGTCACTTTTAAAACTCACTTTTTCTTTTGAGTCACGTTGGATTTGTATTTTTCTTTTCTTTTCTTATTTATACTGTTACAAGAGATAAAGTTATTTATTGTAATTTTAAAATTATATCATTTTGAGAGTTGAAGGATGTTTTAATAAAATTACCAATATTATTGATCAATTTCATAATGAGAATTGTTTTACCTACCCCAGCTCCACCGAAAAGTACTAATCCTACTTATTTTTTAGAGAATAAAGTTTCTTTTGGATCTCTAATAAAAAATATGGTTCTCATTTTAATATCTTACAAAAAAAGTAGTCATCTGGTACCTATAAAATTCAAAGTGAATCTATTTTAGTCATTTTGAAGGACTAATATGAGTTTTTTTTGAATTTGTAAAGGACCACGATTTCATTTCTTTGGGATATCGAGACTATTTTTTTTTTGTAAGAGACTAAAATGGGGACCATTTTTTTTTAAGGACCCAAAAGAGGCATTGCTCTTAATTAATATTTTTTGTATGTACAGCTCACTGATCAAGCGAAGTGTTTTATGAATTTTACTAAAACACATTTCATTAATTTCTTCAACTTTCAAAAGGACATAATTTTGGAGTTGTAGGAGAAACACTCTTCAATATATATATATATATATATATATATATATATATATATATATATATATATATATATATATAGGGGAGTATATATATAGGGGAGGTTATACTTACAACCTATTTTCGTTTACAACCTTTTACAATCATATCTTAACTGTTGATTTTCTCCAATCAACGGTGATCATTTATTATGAATTAATAATTAATTAATAAATTTTATTTGTGAAAATCTTAATCGTTGATTGACGAAAATCAACGGTTAAGATATGGGTTGTAAACAAAAATAGGTTGTATGTATAACTATTCTCATATATATATATATATATATATATATATATATATATATATATATATAGGGCTTATCATATCTCAAATTGCTTGAGATAACTTTATCTTCGACCACTAAAACATAACCGTACAAAGATAGATCAATGGTGATAAAGGAATGGAGAGAAAAAGAGAATCATAACCATTCAAAGGTGAATCAATTAATATAAGGAAATAAACAAACAAAATGACATAATTTTGGGGTAACCGAAGATAAATATATCTCCAGCAGCTTGAAAAATATTTTTCTCATATATATATAGGGGTTCATTTTTTCTGCAGTTACTGCAGATAAATTATATGCAGTAAGCCTAATACGACGTCGTTTAAGGGCGAAAATCCTGGTGTTTTTGTAATTTTAATTTATTTCAGGTTATTATAGTCTTCATAATTATAATTCTTTAATATTTCAATTCCAAAATGAAGTCATTTTGAAAGTAAATGCAGATAGCTTATCTATAGTAACTGCAGAAATATTTTTTTGTGTGTATATATATATATATATATATATATATATATATATATATTATCCTCTCTCTTATAATTTTTTAATTACACAAACCTTTCATATATTTTTGAAACCTACACAAAACTATTTCAAAATATGAAACCGTATCTAGAAATTTTACACAAATTTGAAAATTCATATGTTATTCATTTTATAAATTTTCCTAGTCCGTGGACATTTATGTTTTACTTCTTTGGTCGAAAATGGTTACGTAATCAACATAGAAAAAATACGACAGGATTGCACAGTAAGAAATGATTAGAAGAAGAGAATAATTTATTTAAAAAACTTAATACTTATCATTTTGTTTTAATTTTAATAATATATTTTTTATATTTAGATCTAGAACAGGCCGAATTGACTCTCGTTAGGGCCAAGATCAAATGCTAACCGCGAACCCACGTACAACGCTAATAAATACCAGGCGAATCAAGTTTTTCACATTTCGCATTTTACAATACTTATCCCAAAAAAAAAAAAAAAAAGCATAAAACCACTTATTTTTGGTTATATCGTATAAAGATGTTATTTTATACGCACGGGCGGAACGGCTGAAAATAAGTCCAAGTCAAGCTTAACAACTCAAGGCTCAAGCATAGTTCGTTAAGAAAGTGAATCAATTTTTTTAATTCAAACTCGTTTTACTTCTAACTTTTACCCCTTATGAGGAGTTTCGCAAGTTTTGTATTTCTTTTAGACAAAAACACATGTGAGTTTCTTTTAAAAATAAGCTAAATTTATTAATATTTTGGTCATTTATACTTTTATTCGTCCAAAAAAAGAAGAAGAAGATAATAACAAATTTTGATTTTGGAAAATGGTCACACTCTCATTCTTTGGGTCACTTGCGCCACTCAAGTTCCGAAAAATGCTCACCGCCGCGGATTGGGAGGGTTAGCCAGAGTCAGGTTGATGCTGTTTTTTTGAGTAAATCCGTCGTGTCCCTAACTAAAAAGAAATTACGGTCTTCATTTTTGTTCTTTATAAAAAAAAAATATCCATGTTAGATTTTTTTAGAGATTAAATTGAATTTTCATTGAATTTTTGAAGAGTCATATTTTCAAAGAACTGAAATTTTAAAAAGATCAAAAGTTTATTTTTTATTTATAAAGAACGAAAGTAGATACCATATTTTTTTGTTAAGTACACAAAAATAACTTTACTCTTATTTTTTTTAGGAAGAAACATTAGCCTGTATTATATGTCGCGTAACCACTCAGCCAGCACCATCATAGCTTGGATTAGAATTTCACTTCTTCAGGCATGTGCATTTTGCTATTTTATGTGAAAAATATCTAAGGAAAAAAGTGGGAAAATATCCAGGTTCGAAGCTTGTTTGCTTTTCCATTTCCGAACTAATTTTATTTTAATTACTGTTTATCCGGCAAAGGCACCTCTTCTTAGGTGCATGTCATATTGGCATGCATGTTAATTACTTTGTTTCATTATATTTTTTTGAATTAATAAGTATCACTTGTATTTTATAAATATTTTTAATATAAATACAAATTAAAGATTAAATTTAAAATAATATTTAAAATCATAGAGAATATATATAATCAACTCAAATAAAATTTAAAAAAAAATACAAAAAGGTAAAATATTTTTAAACAAATGTACACTAATTTAATATATAAAAATAAATATTCAAACTATATTCGTGTCAAAGTATGAAAGTCTATGAAGTAGTAAGAACGCGCGAGTGGGCCGGATTGGATCTCAATTATTATATGCAATCAAAGTTAGCTAAGACAAATCAAAGCAATAATTAAAAGGAAGGAGAATTTTGTGCCAAAAATGTATATCAAAGTTAGAAACGCCAGGAAAAGAGAAAAATTAAAAAAAGGTCACTTGAAAAAAAAAGGGAGAGATTTTATTTATTATTAAATTTTTTTACTAACTCTCACTACTAAACTAATCATCGATTTTCGTCAAAATAACGGTTATAATTTATTGAGTATACTTATTAATTAATTATTAATTTTCAATAAATTATAACAGTTAGATTGACAGAAATAAACGATAATTAATTTAGTAGTAAGAGTTGTAAAAAATTTTAATAGTAAATATAACCTCTCTTTTAAAAAAATGCTAGAATTGTCAATATCTCAATGATCAAGCTGTTGCAAGGATCCAAGCTGCTCTCATTCCTAGCGCATCGGATGGAAATGACCGCATTATTTGGAGAAATCAAAAGGTTGGCTGCTCTTTAGTTAAAACCGCGTATTATAACATGCTTGGTTTCCCTCTCGTGCCGTTGAAAAATTCTTGGACTACCGTATGGAAATGGCATGGGCCTCAACGTGTTAAATCTTGTATGTGGATCATAATGCATGGCCGCCTTCTTACTAAAGACCGCACATCTAGATGGAGTGGGGAATCTGGTCATTGTAAAATGTGTCCTGGTGAGTTGGAAACAAATCTCCATATTCTAAGAGATTGTAAGCATGCTAGAAATGTTTGGAATTCTCTGGTTTCAACTAATCGGCAAAGCTTATTCTACAGCTTGGATCTTAGAGATTGGGTTGAAAATAATATCTCAAAAGCTTGGAATCAAAGTAATTCAGATGATTGGCGTGATGTCTTTTTTATCTCTTGTTGGTTCATTTGGGGATGGAGGAACAAAAGTGTCCATGATACTAACTTCAAGCATCCAACCCATGGAACGCACATAATTGCCATGTATATAGAGGAAGTTCGTAACTGCATGGGTAGGAAGGCTATGGCTACTACTAGCATTCATCCAACTCGTATGAGTTTATGGAAACCTCCAAGGCTAAATTGGGTGAAGATTAATATTGATAGGGCAGTTGAAAGGAATACTGAGGTGGCTGCTTGTGGTGAGATTATCAGATCTGATGATGGCTCTTGGTTGGGAGGCTTTGAGTATCATATTGGTGCTTGCACTCCTTTAATGCGGAGCTTTGGGGAACTCTAAAAGGTCTGGAATTGGTTTGGCAACTAGGATTTAAGAAGGTGGAACTAGAAGGAGATGCTTCTGAAGTATTCTCTTTGCTTGCTGATTGCAATGCAGCTTGTCAGCCTCGTATAGTGGCTAAGATACAAGCACTCATCGGTCAGGATTGGGAGGTAACGCTTTCTCATATTCCAAGAGAAGCTAATTCCTGTGCAGATTGGTTAGCCAAGTCTGCTCTTCACAAAGATACTGGATTCTGGAGTCATAGAGTTATGCCGTTTCACCTTGCTCAGTTATTTGATCACGATCTTCAGGAAATCTCCTCTTGTAGGGATATAGACCCTGGATAATTATTTTTTGTTTCTGGTTGTTTGTTTGTTTTTGTTTGGGGCTTCGCCCCTTAATGTTATAAAAAAAAAAAAAAAAAAATGCTAGAATTTTATTCATTGGACGGCGTCAACAAGCAATTTTATTTCATATTATTATTATTATTCCAACTCCTACCATATTCTTCCCTTTTACAAAACAGCTGCGCCCTCTTCACATGGTAATACTTCTGTCTGTGTGCAGTGCCTCCCCTCAATTCTTTCATTCTGCAACTGAAAAAGGATGGAACAGCGTCTTTGCTTCGTTCCCCATACAAACCTTTATTCCAGTACGTACACATCCTTTATTCCCAAACACATGCTAAAGCCACACAAGTTTGAAGGCTTTTTAGATTTAAATTTACATAAATGGAAAAAGATGTTGATGTTATATGTTGTTTATATCAAACAAGAATAAGAAAATTAGGAAACGAATTATATGTAAAAAATAATAAATACATTAACTTATTTACTTACTTATATACACGCTAAAGATTTTTTGTTGTTGTTATTTTAAAAGTTTTGGTCTGGATTTAAATTTCCAATAACATCACAATACCATGTTATAAAATAAAAAAACAAAATAAATTTATTTTTGTTTATTTCTTTTTCAAACATAACATATTATGTTAGTAAATAATATAAGAGCATTTAACTTTCGTTTTTATAATTGCGGAAAGATAAGGCATGTCCATTACAAATTGCAATCATATTCGTATTATTGATGAATTTGGTGATACTAGATTTACGATTCGGAAATAATTGAGTTTTGCCCCATACACCAGCTAAGAAAGATGTATAAAATTTGACAACCAAAGAAACAAAGTGGTACCATATTTTAACTTTGTCAATGATATGTAATACTATATCTTTTAGGGATGGTTTGGTAGGAGTAATTTTTTAGGGATGACAGGAAAGTGAAAGTGGGATTCATATAGGGGTGGCAATTTGGGTTGACCCGCCAAAAAATATGGGTTAGAAAAATGAAATCACTCCGTTTTATGGTGGGTTGGCGGGTCAACCCACCAATCCGCCAATTAAAAAAACAATTAATTAAAATTCAAAAATAAATTATATTTTATGAATTTTTCTAATATTATTTTATTTTATTTCACACTTCTCTATATTTTTTTGGTCTCAATCTTAAATGTATACTAATATTTGTCAAACATTCTTTAGGAATTTATATATAGATAACATTTGTCATAAATAAAATTGTTATTCTTTATTTTTTCTAGGAAGTATTAAGATAAAAAAAAATTTGGATATCACAAAAATTTAAGGACTAATAAAATACTACCTAATTGTAAGAAAAAAAAAATTATAACCCGACGGGTTGAACCCGTTTTGACCCACTTCTAGGCGGGGCGGGTTGAGGTGGGTTGGTGGGTTAAAAACCTCAACCCAACCCGCCCCGTTTTGGCGGGTTCTCAACCCATATTGCCACCCCTAGATTCATATATAACCATGTTTAGTAGGAGTTTTCACAATACTTTCCAGGCCACCTGATTTGCCTTGCATTTCATATTATGTACAAATTGTGAATCATTTTCCCTTCTCAAAATACCTCCAAAGGGGTGGTTTTTTGGTTTACTGGATGTAGGGATTTGGACACAAATATTTTAGGACAAATGTGCCCTTCCTCTCCAGAACGTGTCTGCATTTTGGTGCTCCCCCTTCACTCTACTTTTGGGAGATCTACAGATGAAGAAGTGTACAAATCCACACAAGTAAAACTGTAAAAGAGAAAATCCATGAGCAGACCGGCAACGAAGGCAAGAGCATCGACGATGGCAAGACAACCGGCAACGAAGGAGCAGTGAGGGCGGCAAGACAGACCGCCATGTATGGTTCTCTCTCTTGGGAGATTCATTGTTTCTCTGTGAAAAAGAAAACTTTCATTATTATTTTTCCAAAAATAAAGTGAAGTTAAAGCTAATTAGCAGAGCAAGATGGTCGATAAAAAAAGTCACAGCTTGCCTTGAAGGTTGGCAAAAACAAAATAACGATGATTCTCTGTGTGTTAAAAAAATAAATAAATAAATAAAGTAAGGGTGAGGTTATTTTTGTAAAATAACCTCACATTCCCATTAATATTTCACAATCAACCAAACAAAGACTCAGTAAATTTTACAAAAATCTCAGTAATATTTTCGCATACCAAACAGCTTTTTTATAACATTCCTGGGTAATTCACTTTCCTATCATATTCTTGGTAGTCATGATTCCCAGACACCAAAAAATTTCTCCTGTACCAAACGTCCCCTTATAGACAATAACAATAATAACTATTGATACAATACTAGGACAATGTACTACATTTAAGCCATAGGCATGGGATAGGTGATGAGGGAATTTAATTGTTTGTATGAAATCATTAGTTTAAACCTCAACATTATTATTGTAAAAAAAAGTGTAGTAAATAATTTGTATCAATTATGTCTTTTCTATTCAGGCTAACCCTCTTAGGCCCATTAAATTGGATCCATTACTAATAATTTATATCTAGAACCTTCTAGAGGGCATCTCATGATGAGCCATAAAAGCTCATTACTGGAGATATCCTTTATTCCTGCATTACTGCGACAATAGATGCAACATGTCTTGTCTCAGTGCCAATACTTGGCTAGATGATACAACTATTAAGTCACTTATTATTCTCACTCCCACGTGGAGAGAGGGGTCTCCTATCTAAGTACCCTCAACTCCTACTGAAAGAGGATTAAGTCTTCTATTCTATTTATGATTGTTACTCTGGAAGAGTGAAGAGTAACAATAGCCACTTACACACACTCCCCTTTTGATATATAGCACATGGGAAACTCATGTTAGCCTCAGTCTCTACATTGCTTCAAGGAGTACCCCTAGATTGATATACTTCACCCCTTGAGGGATACGTTAGTGGCTCTTTACGAACACCAACAGTTCATCAACATCGTATGTGGGAACATCAACAGTCATGGTGCTAAAATCACTTGGTTGCCCCGAATCGTGAGTTATACGCGTGATCCCTGTAACTAACCGAGCGATTATTTACTGATCGCACTTATTTCAATTCGTCATAAAGTCTCCCCTATTATAATGATAAGCTCAACAACGGAGAACATCAGTCAGCGTGACCAACCTCGATTTACCGGTCATATACGATTAGAACGAGCGACTTGCATGAATCCTGCCTAAACATGTTTATTCGCCCGGTGTAACCAATCTCCCTTTCATCTCAGCACCATGACTTGGCATGTTACCAAGGTGGGGGTTTTTTTGTTCCGGCCAACCCAATTGGCAGGCCCAACAATACTGGCCCATATCACCTCTGATACATTAACCCTGATGTACCATTGCAGCCATGACAATGTTTCCATATCAGTACTAACATACCAGACTTCCCAATGTAAGACATGCAAGGTCTTACGTTGGAATTAGGGGTGGCAACACGGGCCAACCAGACTCGATCCGGCCCAACCTGTTTGCAACCCAAAAAAATGAGCCGGCTTAGGGTTGGCATGAAAAAAAATGAGGCAGAAAACCCAACCCAACCCGAGCCAGTTAGGGTTGACTTGAAAAAAGGGGGGGAAAATAGCCTTTGTCACACTCATCCAGTACATTTGGTGGGGAAGCTAAGGAAATGATTTTCATTTGATATAAGATATTTATTGCAAAGGAAAACACTTAATATAATCGCTACTTACTAGCCACTAAATACGCTAAACATAGAACCTATGCATACTTGGCCAGCGGCGATAGTAGCTGTGATCACAGTGGTTGAATGGCAACGACAGCAGCAAAGTGCAACGACGACAATGTATGCATTTGGGATTTAGCCTTTAGGTTTCTACTTTCTTTGAACAAATTTGACGCCTTTATTATTCTTTTGTATTTTTTTAATAAATAAAAAAAGGATAACCCGCGAGTTAACTTGTTTGACCTGCGGGTTGACTCGATTTTTTTTGAGCTGCCTCTAGTTGTCAGCTTTTTTTGACAACTCAACCTGGCTCATTTTATGCGAGTTACGAGCTAACCCGACGGATTGGCTCATTTTATTCATCCCTACTTGGAATGTCCCCTTCACTTTATCCTGCACAGTAGTCGCTAAATCACTGACAACAGCTGCAAGATGTTTTGCCCAGCAAAGCCAGACTATAATGGTTCTCCCCAAACCCCTCTCTCCGCACCTGGATGGAGCCTAGCCCTAAGTATAATTACCCCCTTCTTATCCACCATGAACACATGTTATTCACTATTTTTATGAACGGTTACTCTATCGATATTGAGAGCTATTGTAGCCGTTTAACAACCCCTGTTGTCATATATAGCATATGAGAAATCTTTGCATAGCTTTGGTCTATATCATTGTTGTCAAGGACACTCCTATAGTGACTTACTTCACCCCTTGAGGGTACATACATGGTTCTCATACATCACCAATAGTTCACTTCCCATTACCCAAATTTAGGGCAACAAAGTTAAACGTAATTCTTGAGCTTATTCGGTTATTCTTGTTTTTATTTTAATTTTAGGCATGGGAGAGTGGTTAGGCGGATCAGAATCACGACTGACAATTGAAATTGAAGTTTTGGGAGAAAGTAGGAAGCTTAAAATTAAAGGGCTTCTTCAATTCATATGAGCCTATATGAGACACACACTTTATATGTGTATAGGAGATAAATTTATTTCGTATAATATAAAAAACACTAGACCCAAAATTAAAAGATGTTCACGTGTGCTGAGGATGTTTTTGTTTGGTGTCAGATAAGGTTTTAGGGAGCGTTTGATATAGGAGAAATTTTTTTTTATCCGGAAATTACGATTTCCAAGAAAATGATGAGAAAATGAGTTTTCTGGAAATGTTACTAAAAAGTTGTTTGGTAGACTAACATATTCCCGAGAATATTGGATTAATTTTGTTGATGTTGTGTTTAATTGTGTTAAATTTTTTCTTGTCATAGAAATCTTAAAATACCACCTTCTGAATGGTATTACTAGATGATTTTTTCAAAAAAATTTACACACAAAAAAAAATCCCGAAAAAATCAAATTGCCAGGAAAATTTTAAAAATCCTGTAACAAATGATGCATTCTTATTTACTTAACCAAAGAATCACGGAAAACAAAAGAAATTTGGTACCCTTAGAGATGCTTAATTAGTTTGTTAATTAGCAATTTGTAGCAGGTCTCGTGAATCCCCTCCCAGACCCACTTGTCGTTTCTAGAGTCTAGTGTTCTTGCTAGCAACATTTCGTTTCCTTCATCACTAATCCACATTACAGTCACATAGTTATGGGAGTTGTTTCTTCTCTTTTCCACTACTGTATGTTAGATACCTTTTTTCTCTTCATATCTAAGTCCCAAATATAGAAGTATTATTATTATATTTCTTTCCTATTTTCGTTTGCTTGGCTTTGTAATCCCAAGTTACTATTTTACTTCGTTCCGATTACTAAATGACGACCAGCTCTGCTTAGCAGTTAAATTTTTCCATCATCTTTTTTTGTAAATTAACACGTGGATATCGTTTTTAGACAAAAATCCGAAACAGTTTCGCGGTCTACATTAGAATTTAGAATGCTGGTTCCTGTCCTATCATGCGAAAATGTAGATATAACAGACTTATAAGAGCACGCCACATCTGTTGCTATTATATTGAAAAAAGAAAAGTAATTTTTATATTTTATACTAAATATTATTGGTAATATATAGTATAAAAGTTATGTTTATCTCATTTTACTTTAGATAAATAATTTTTTTACACATTCAAAAAAAGATTGGGTCCCACCACTCTTTTTTTCTCTCCTCTTACTTGTGGAAATTTTATTTCTACAACATAAAATAATTATTTTCCTAAAAATATTTCCCATAGTATAAATACACCATTGCATTCGGTACTAGACATGCGTGTAATACAAAAGATGCGCTCCGTATCATTATTGAGAAATAAAAATATTTTCAGATGTACCGATTACTCGAATATACCTTTTATCAAATATGAAAAAAAAATTATACTATATTTACTAGAAAAATAATTTTTTTATGTTGTTGGAGTCTGAAGCACCGACACTTCAAAAATTCTAACGTGTCATGTCCGACACTCCAACTATTAGCGTGTCATGTCCGACATTCCGACATTTCTCGACACTCCAACTATTAGATTCGTTGCTGTTAGAGAACAATATAAATCATTAAAAAAAGCCCTTACCCAACGCTTTAAGGTTTTGGGTTGAAATGGTTCTTTACAGTTGCGTTGCGTTTTTAGTTCTAACTATTAGATTCGTTGGATTACTATTACTATTTTATTGAATTTAATATAAATATTTGTGATATCTTATGTTATCAAAATCTAACATTTTTTAGAATTAAAATGTCAGAGTATTGTCTCGTGTTAGTATCGGTGCTACATAGGTTGGAGTTGAGTTATCTTATGTTAGTGAAATAAAATTATAAAGGGATCAACAAATAATTGAAGAGAAAAAAAAATAGAAATGAGATCCATTTTTGTTATGTGTGTAAGAATTTAATTTATCTTGTGTTGAATGAGATAAATATAAGCCATATTTTTATAATTATTTCATTTCGTATTTTTTTTTTATTTTTTTTTTGATAAAGATGGATGTGCTCCCATTTCACTGTAGATTTACTCGAGAATGAGAAACATATTCATGAGATTTTGGCACACTTCCCAATGATTTTGGCACATATTCATTTTTTTTTCCTCAGATAAGATGGTAGCTTTTGCTTCGGAATCGGGTGTAATGAATGCTTAAAAATTTCAATGCCCCAAGTTTGTTGTTTTAGTTGAGATGAATTTGTTTTGGGTTCTTTGTTGGGTGATATTGCTCCCTTATTTGTATCTCGGTATGTGGCTGCTGCAAATGTGTCATCCTCAAGACCCGCCGTTGTGAACATTGGAGCCATCTTCACCTTCTAAGTTCTAATCCGCAGTTGGGAAAGTGGCTAAAATTGCCATGGAGGAAGCAGTGTAGGATGTAAACGCCAATACAAGCATTCTACATGGAACAAAACTTGTTCTCAATATGGAAAATTCCAATATTGAAAATTATAAAAATAATACAGAGTTTATTTAAATTCTTTAAAGAAGTGAAACATTTTTAAACTAATATACATTAATTTAATATATGAAAATAAATATTTAATTTATATTGATGTCAAAGCATGAAAGTCTATAAAGTAGTAAGAACGCGCAAGTGGGCCGGATTGGATCTCAATTATTATCAGAAATCAAAGTTAGCTAAGACAAATCAAAACAATAATTAAAAGCAAGGAGAATTTTGTGCCAATAATGTAGATCAACGTTAAAAACGCCAGGAAAAGAGACAAATTGAAAAATAAACAAGGGTAAGTTGAAAAAAGCTTGAATTTTATTCATTGGACGGCGTCCACAAGCAATTTTATTTCATATTATTATTATTATTATTATTATTACACTGAGAAAAGTATGTGTCATTTTAAAGGATGTAAAGTTGTGTCATTTTAAGAGAGAGAAATAGATAGATAAAGAAGGAGAGAGAGTTGACAAAAAAATTAAAGGTGTGGATCTCACTACTTTGTGAGAGTGAAAAGATATAAATTATGTCATTCAAAAAGATAAACAGTTTTCCCTATTTCAATTCCTAGTTTATCCTTCACTTTTACGAAACGCGGAACATGGATCAAAGTGTCGTTATTGAATAATTTTTTTATCCAAATCGAACAATATTTTTTACCATCAATTGTGGCTTATGCTTTCATGGCATGTGACTACATTACGTACCAAATTCATTATTACTAGTAATGAATTTCGTCTAGTCAATTTTTGTGTACAAAAAATATGTTACGTGTCACAAAATCATCGACGAACGTAATTCATTATCAATCATAATAAATTACGTCGCGTGATAATTTGATAAAAAATACTATTAAGATAATATTTGAATACAAAATTTGCCAAACAATGAAACTTTCATCAATGTTACACGAAACAGCTGCTCCATCTTCACATGGTAATATTTCTGTCTGTGTGCAGTGCATCCACTAAATTCTTTAATTCTGCAATTGAAAAAGGAAGGAACAGCGGCTTTGCTTCGTTCCCCGTACAAATCTTTATTCCAGTACATATCCTTTGTCCCCAAACACATGCTAAAGCCACACAAGTTTGAAGCTTTTTTCACTTTTACATGGTCTTTAATTATTTCTTTGAGATAAATGAGATATTTGGATATCTCCACAAACTCTCAACTTTTTGAGTTAAGCTCCTCATCCCTCCTTGAAAATATATTTAGTGGAAATTGAATTCTCAAGTTCTCTTGCCACATACTCAGCCCTGTAACAACTACTGAGCTGCAAGTTTGAAGGCTTTTTAGATTTACATTTATATTTGTCGAAAGAGACGTCGATATTATATGCTGCTTATATCAAATAATAATAAGAAAATTGTGAAACAAATTATATATTAAAAATAATAAAAACATTTACTTATTTACTTACTTATTATATACACACAAACTCACGAAATATGCTTTTTTTTGTTATTTTAATAGTTTTGGTCTGGATTTAGATTTCTAATAACACAATATCAAGTTATGAAATAAAAAACAAAATAAATATTGTTATTTTCTTCTTGTTCAAACATACTATTATTATGTTAGCAAATTTTTTTTTTTGGTAGATAAATCACAATTATTTTTACCGGAGACAATCCTGTTTAGGGTGGGTCTAGGCTTTAAACCCCTCCCAACGATGACACTGTGAAAGATTAAACACATATTTTTATTTCTACCTCTTCACCTGCCATGCATCAATTGAGCTACTATAATTTGATATATATTAACAAATAATATAAGAGCATATAAATTTCTTTTTTATCATTGCGGAAATATAAGGCATGTCCATCACAATTTGCAATTATATTTATATTATTGATGGATTTGATGATACTAGATTTACGATATGGAAATTATTAATTAATTTTTGCCCCTTACACCAGCCAAGAAAGATGGTTGAAAGTTGATTACCAAAGTAACCATGTAGTTCCATACACCAAAGCACGGACACCCTCCATTTCCAAAATTTTGCGTCTCCGACACGTGTTTGACACGGACAACGCTCCGACATGTTCGGATACGCGGTCAACGCTTGGACACGTATTTTTTTTTTAATCTTAATTTTATTTTGTTAACTAAAAATAAAAGAAATAATTTATAAATTAACTTTTTTCTGTTATGAAATTTGATATGAAAAATTAACAAAATACGAAAAATTATTTATATTTATATTATGAAATTTAAATATTTGATTTGTTATATGACTTATTATGGACTCTTATATGTATTAAATATAAATTATATTATATATATTAAAAATTTTATTTAATATCTAAACGTGTCCCAACGTGTCGAAATATGACATTTTTTAGAATTAACGTGTCGGCGTGTCGTATCATGTTCAGTGTTCGTGCATCATAAGACTACCATATATTAACATTGTCAATGATATGTATATAATATAATATCTTATACTGTCAATGATGAGGGAATTTAGTTGTTTGCATGAAATCATCAGTTTAAACCTCAATATTATTATTGTAAAAAAAAAAAATTAATACATTTAAAATTCCACAATTTGCATCCACCAATTTACCAATGACTAAATTATTGTTCGAGAATGTGTATCAACTATCGACTGTTCAAGTTATAACATGCGGCTTCCCATTGCCCAAATTGAGGGCAACAAGGTTAATCTTGATTCTCGAGCTCATTCCGTTATTGTTATTAGTCAATTGAAATTGAAATTTTGGGAGAAAGAAGCTTAAAATTAAAAGATGTTAACGTGTGCTAAGGATGTTTTGTTTGGTGTGGGATAAGATTTTCAGGGATGTACCGAATGGGTGCAGTTGGTAATTTGGCGCTGAGTTAGTGGGGTTAGATATGTGTTCGATTCACGCTCATTCTTGGGAAGGGGCTGAACCTTTAGCCATCACTGTTCCCCGCACTCCGGATTAGTCCCGTAGCCGGCTCAAAGAGTCGAAGCTCGTGAGAATACCAGAAGGCTCAAAGATATAATTAGGGTTGGTAACTCAAAAAAAAAAAAATTCAGGGATGCTTAATTAGTTTGTTAATGAATCCCCTCCCAGACCCACTTGTCGTTTCTACTGTCTAGTGTTCTTGCTAGCAACATTTCGATTCCTTCATCTCTAATCGACATAACATTCACATTCACATTCACATAGCTATGGGAGTTGTTTCTCCTCTTTTCCACTACTGTAGGTTAGATACCTTTTTTCTCTTCATATCTAAGATATTTCTTTCCTAGTTTTCGTAACCTTTTTCGTTTGTTTGTGCTTCACTGTTTGCCTTCCTTATCCTAAGTTACTATTACTCCGTTCTGATTGCTAAATGACGACCATCTCTGCTTAGCACTTGCGTGTTGCGTTTTTCCATCATCTTTTCTTTGTAAATTAACACGTGAACATCGTTTTTAGACCAAAATCTCAAATGGTTTTGCGGTTTTTATTAGAATGCTGGTTCTTATCGTAACACGGCTGAGAATGAAAAACATGTTCATAAGATTTTGGCACACTTCCTCCCTATGATTGGTCTGCACTTCATCATGGATTTTTCCCTTTTTTTTTTTTTTTTTTTTCAAGTTTACCTTTTTTTCTCTCTCACAGATAAGATGGTAGCTTTTGCTTCGGAATCGGGTCTAATGAATGGTTAAAAATTTCAATGCCCCTGGTTTGTTTAGTTGAGATGAATTTGTTTTGGGTTCTTTGTTGGTTGATGTTGCTCCCTTATTTCGGAGTATCAGTATCTCATCAGTATGTGGCTGCTGCAAATGTGTCATCCTCAAGACCCGCTGTTGTGAACATTGGAGCCATCTTCACCTTCGAATCCACAATTGGGAAAGTGGCTAAAATTGCCATGGAGGAAGCAGTGAATGATGTAAACGCCAATACAAGCATTCTACATGGAACAAAACTTGTTCTCAGTATGGAAAATTCCAATTGCAGTGGTTTTATGGGCATGGTTCAAGGTAATCTATTCTATTCTATTCTTCAATTTTAATTGTATACCCACTTGTTTGCTTTGCTTTGCTAGAGAGACTGCATTACTCAGATTCAGTGATAAATATATCGTATTGATTGCAGCTTTGCGGTTCATGGAGACTGATGTAGTTGCTATATTAGGTCCACAATCTTCTGTGGTTGCCCACATACTATCCCATGTTGCAGATGAGCTCCGTGTTCCTCTGTTGTCATTTGCCGCAACAGATCCTACGCTCTCATCACTGCAGTTCCCATTCTTTGTGAGGACAACACAGAGTGATTTGTACCAAATGACTGCAGTTGCTGAAATCATTGATTATTATGGTTGGAAGGAGGTCATTTCCATATATGTAGATGATGATTATGGACGAAATGGTGTGGCTGCATTAGATGATGAACTAGCAAGCAGGCGCTGTAGAATCTCCTTCAAGGCAGGAATTAAATCTGGACCTGGAGTTGACCGGGGTGAAATCATGAATTTGCTTGTTGAGGTGACAATGATGCAATCTAGAGTCATTGTTCTCCATGTACATCCTGACTCAGGATTTATGGTCTTCAATGTGGCACGTCATCTTGAGATGACAGGGAATGGCTATGTGTGGATAGCCACAGATTGGCTCTCATCTGTTCTAGATTCTGCTTCTCTCCCTTCAGATACAATGGATGATCTGCAGGGAGTGCTTGTTTTGCGCCAGCATACACCTGATTCAGATAGAAAAAAAGCATTTTTCTCCGGGTGGAACAAGTTAACTGGTGGCTCTTTGGGGTTACATTCTTATGGCCTCTACGCTTACGATTCTATTTGGCTGGTTGCACATGCTATTGATGCATTTTTCAACCAGGGTGGGATCGTTTCGTGTACCAATTACACAAGTTTACATGATGATAAGGGAGGTGCTCTTAACCTTGATGCAATGAGCATTTTTGATAATGGAACACTTCTCCTGAATAACATATTGCAGAGTGATTTTGTTGGATTAACAGGTCCAATGAAATTTCAATCAGACAGATCTCTTGTTCGTCCTGCCTTTGATGTTATTAATGTGGTTGGAACTGGGATTCGTCGGGTTGGTTACTGGTCCAACTATTCTGGTCTGTCAATTATACCTCCTGAGACATTGTATACTAAGCCACCTAATAAATCAAGTGCAAACCAGCAGCTTCAGGGCGTGCTATGGCCTGGAGAAACAGTCTCGAAACCCCGTGGATGGGTCTTCCCAAATAATGGAAAACAATTGAGAATTGGTGTGCCTATCCGAGTCAGTTTCCGTGAATTTTTATCGCCGGTGCAGGGAACGGATATGTTTAAAGGTTTCTGTATTGATGTTTTCACTGCAGCTGTAAACTTGTTACCATATGGTGTTCCATACCTCTTTGTCCCATTCGGAGATGGTCACAAAAATCCAAGCTACACAGAACTTGTCAACTTAATCACCGCTGGCGTAAGTACTGCCTGATAAATCTGATCTTCTATATATATATATATGTATGCTAACATTTTGTACCATCAGTATTTTATTCAACTGGCTAATTCGTTCATGTATTTGGTACAGTACTTTGATGGTGCTATTGGTGACATTGCCATTGTCACAAATCGGACAAGGATTGTAGATTTTACTCAGCCATATGCTGCGTCTGGACTTGTAGTGGTGGCTCCTTTTAAGAAAATCAATTCTGGCGGTTGGTCTTTCCTACAGCCATTCACTCCACAAATGTGGCTTGTGACTGCTTGTTTCTTCTTTTTCGTTGGGATAGTTGTATGGACATTGGAACACAGGATTAATGATGAGTTCAGGGGTTCACCTAAACAACAAATTATAACCATTTTATGGTCAGTTATTTATTTGATTATCCTACTGCTGTGCTTGGCTTAACAGTTGCATACTTCTTATATATGCCATGCTATAAACGAAGACTATTACTAACAAGTAGCTTCAGTTGTGGTCCATGGAAAACATAGGCAACACATATCTGTTTCTTGTACCATGTTTACTGGTTTTTCATGTCATTATGCTTATAAATGGGCTGTAAAAAGCATTTCAAAATTTACAGTTATAGCTTACTGTTGTGTGGAGCAGTTGCAGGATATGATTCATCATCATACTTGAACTGGGTGATCTCAATTGTTTCTGATCCATCTATTTTTACCGTGCCTGCAGGTTTAGTCTGTCAACTCTATTTTTTTCCCACAGTAAGTGATACTCCAGATACTCTTGTTTGTTGGAAGGATATAATGAAAAAAGTTTATTAGTTTTTTCTTCATTGCTTCTGCAGGAGAGAATACGGTGAGCACTCTTGGTCGTGTGGTGGTACTCATATGGTTGTTTGTGGTTTTAATCATCAATTCCAGCTACACAGCAAGTTTAACATCCATACTCACAGTGCAGCAGTTATATTCTCCTATCAATGGAATAGATAGCTTAAAAGCTAGTGATGAACCTATAGGGTTCCAAGTGGGTTCATTCGCAGAACGTTACTTGACTGAGGATATTGGAATATCCAAATCTAGACTTGTTGCCCTTGGATCTCCAGAAGCATATGCCAAGGCACTCCAGCTTGGTCCTGATAAAGGAGGTGTTGCTGCTATTGTTGACGAGCGACCCTATGTCGAAATCTTCTTATCAACTCAGTGCACATTTAGGATTGTAGGTCAGGAGTTCACCAGAAGTGGCTGGGGTTTTGTAAGTATCTACCTTTTAGATCATTACTTTAGTGGAAACAAAAAACAGGTAGGATCTTTTGATACCAGTGTCAAATTTAAAATTTGACATCTCACTGAGAGCCGTTGGATAAAAAAAGATCAACGCTTCTGATTTGTAAGCATGTGACACCATTGATCTTTTTTGATCTAACGGCTATCGTATGAGGTATCTAATTTCAAATTTGACATTGGTGTCAAAGGATCCTACCTCAACAAAAAATGTTATTTAATTGTGTTACTGACAGCTGAGGTTATTGTGTATCTTTCAAAAGTTTTTATGGGAAAAGTGAATCAATGACCAAGATTAAACATAATCCTCAACCTCAATTACATGTTTTGTTGTCTTTTCACCATAATATGGTAATATATGCATGTGGCTAACTCATCATTTAATGTGTTCAACAATGTTATTTTGTTTTAAATATGTTGGCATGGATATTAGGATATGTTCCGCCCATCTGTGAGTAGATTGTCTTTCAAATATCTTGAATCTTGCTTTTGTATTCTTCTTTTCCACCTCAAGTTGCTAATCAATACGGTAAATTGTTAATATATGCATCTGACTAACTCATCATTCAGAGTTATCATCGTAAGAATAATTTTATTTTTTTTGTTTTGTTATGCTAGGCATTCCCTCGGGACTCCCCTTTGGCTGTGGATTTGTCAACTGCCATTCTACAACTTTCTGAAACTGGTGATCTGCAGCGGATTCATGATAAGTGGATGACACGAAGCACCTGTAGTTTAGATAATGCTGAAATTGAATCAGATCGTCTTCAGCTTAAAAGCTTCTGGGGTCTCTTTCTCATTTGCGGGATAGCTTGCTTTATTGCTCTTGTCATATATTTTTTGCAGATTATGCTCCAGCTGTGGCATTCTGATCCTTCTGAACCTGCTTCTAATGTTAGTTCAGTTTCTGGTCGTTTTCAAAGATTTCTTTCCCTACTTGACAAGAAGGAAGATTCATCAGGGAGTGAAAGAAGAAAGAGGAATGGAGAGGAAAGATCATCTGAAGATCAATTGGGGAGGCAGCCAAAGAGGAGACAAACTGAAACTAATTAACCCTTTGATGTCATTGGTATTTGTTGGTCTTAGCCTTTATGCTATTGCTCCTATATAAATCCCAAAATTCAGAGCGTTGCAAACGGAAGATTTCCGGGAAATGTTACTTGATTTACTAGACTGAAACAAAGGGAGTCATTGAAGATATATCTTGTTGATTGTGCAAGTGTTTTTCTTTGCCTTTTTTGTGAAATGCATCACGAAGAACATGACAATACTTTCTATCGTGAAATTTCTTAGCATAGATATTTGAGCCTGTACATTATCCACATTTCTTGTGTGAGGAGACATGTTAGAAAAGTATATAAACCATTGATAGGCTTCACTTGAATTGAATTGACTCTTTATACCTGCGATATTTCTATGATAGATTAATCTTTACCAAGTACATAATTCCTCTAGACCGCACTTCTCATTCTAAATGACTAAAATCTTTAGTAAGCAAATCATTCATAGAAATGTCTTCGATTATATTCTTTCCCCATACTTAAGATATATTATATTCATGAATAAGGTCCTATTTCCTTAACCTAATAAGTCGTCCAGAACAATAAGTAATCGCTATGACCATGACCAATGATATGGTACATGAAATAAACCAAAGAAGTTTCTCTAGCTGCCCTTAGAGCACTAAAATAAACCAGAAAAAAGAGAGTCTAATTGTACTTCGGAACCATTTCTCGACATGTTTTCTGATCTTATGTGTAAGGCTGACTTTATCTTACCACAATTTCCACATACTTTAACATCCTGAGGCGGCTCTGGCTTTAACTGAGGGGTACAATCTCGACGATCATTCCATTCATTTTCTGTAAGCTGCGACTTAAAATCTTGTGGGTCAATAACAAATTAAGTAAAATCTGTCTGATGTAAAGACAGCAAGACAATATTGTTCCTCAAAAACAAAGTGTACGAAAAATTTTTACTCTACCTCTGCATTATTGAATAGCTGTTTTGTTAGAATCGAATTTTCAAAAATTTAAATGCTTTGTTTTTGTGCTAACAAGCACAAATCAATAGTATATGTATCAGTAATCAGATGATAAACATCGTTGCACAAAGAATAATGTATTTAACTTTTTTAATCAACTTCTATCCTAGTTTCTTGAAACTTAAGTATTCATTTTTTAACTAAAAATTCAATCACTACAAGCTAAAATCAGCTTTGATTTGTTTACCAAAAAAAAAAAAAAAATCAGCTTTGATTATACAAGGTAACTCAAATCAAATCTATTACAATTAACAATCAGATATCAAACACTGCAGTTCTGGAATTTATGATTTTCCCTTTTATTTAGCATTCCTACATTTTTTAGTTGCTATAACACTTTCTTAATAAAAGTTGTAGCACTTTTCTGCATTTTCCTAAACCTACAATCAAATCAATTCAAACTTGTATCTGGTAAAGGTGGCAAAGTGGGCGGGGGCCGCTCCACTTTTGAAATTGGGTTGAAAAACTCGGCTCACCCAGCCCCGTTTGACGGGTTGACCCGAGCCTATTTTACACTGACTCGTCTCGGTCTCGGTCTGCCTATGCCCGGCATTTATCCGTCAAAAAATGAACTCAGGTTGCCTCATATTTGGGATGAGTTGAAAAATTCAGCCCGCCCCACGCCATTTAACGGGCTGGGTGAATTTGCCCGTCGAGCCAAACCCGTTTTGCTGGCTCTAATCCCCGGGTATTAAATCAAATTCATTTATGTAAATCTCAACTTTCACTTCAAATCATCCCTGATCATAAAACATTCAATCAACAACGTTCATGCATCTCAATTTCCCAATCAAGATTCATGAAAAATGATTCTAAGACCATTCCCAAAGCCTTCAAACATCAAGACATTGCAAATTGAAAATCAAGATTGTGCTAAACAGGTAATTCTAATTAATGGGAACACACCAATTCTTCCGGAACCCAGGAAAGAATTAGAAACTCATCATTCCAATAACTTCGAAAGAAACATTAAAACTAAAATAACAATGCATTGAACCAACTTCAAAAGTAACTGAGTATCAGAGTACAGACCATAAGCTTTAAATGTAATTGTTCAGGAAAGAAAATGCTTAGCAAAAGAGTGCTGAAATCACAGATTGCAGTTGAAGTTATGATATTCTTGAATTCCTCCAAAATATTCTTCTTTCTCGTGCTTTCTTCGAAAGAGAACTTACAACTAAAACTGAAAACTGATAAAACTAACTTCAAGTGTCCTAACTAAACTTCAAAAAAACTAAAGTTCCCGTAGCTTCAGATCATTGCTGTCCTTTAGATTCCTTTTGCATCCAATGGTCCAAAATCCTTCCAACTTCAGCAAATTGTCCACGTGCTTCAATTTCTGTAATAACAATAATATGACAAAATGTGAGTAGAATTCACAAAATTGCCATTCACTAAGCCAGATACTATCATGGGCCGATTTCTCACTCTTTTGGGCCATTTCAGCAAATTGAGTCATTAACTGCCCAACAGAACTTAAAATGCAGGTATTAAATAATAGAAAAATATTTATGCAGATATTGCAGATAAGTTATCTGCATTTGTTTTTGAAATAACATCGTTTTTAGATTGAAAAAAAAATTATAATTATAAAGACTATAATAACCCTGAAATGAATTAAAATTACAAAAATACCATAATTTCCGTACCAAAACGACATTGAGCTTATTGCAGATAACAGTATAAAAAACGAATTCATTAATCAATGCAAAATTTACAACTAACAGAAGGCCATTCAACATCTTGTATTTTTCCTCGTTCATCAACTTATGCTGGCTTCTTGATGAACCATCTTAGGTTCCATTGACAAAGATAAAGGTTCTTCAGAATTTTGAAGAAGACTCTCATCTCCAATATTAAGGCCACTGTCAAATGTAGGCAAATTTGGTCAAGAAACAAGCCAGAGAGCATCATCTATTAAAAGGAGAGAGAAAGAAATGCAAAATTCATTAATAAAGTTACCAAACCTTCCAAACAGCATCGAAGGTCTGTATCCAAGAATTGCAGAATCTAGTTCATCAAGTAAGCAGTATGAAGAAAGAGTGTCTTGGTAGGTGTTGACAGGCTGCTTTAATGGAGATAAATTATTTAAACAAGCTAGTAATTGAGGATCCTGGAATGAAAAAGGTGACGACGCATGCATGAGACATTCACTATTCATCGATCTTCAAACAGTGTTGTTAATGACATGGAATAAGTTACTTAAAGAATGCTCTAAAAGAAGAAAAAGAAGGTTCAAGAAAACAAAATTATCCAAAATGCTTGAATGTTAACAGAAAAGTTGTAATGCTATGACAATGCCATATGAAAGGAAAAGAGTGTGAAAGAAGAAAACCGGTGAAGAAAATATGATAAAGACAATCAAATATGATAATTATAGTGATATAACCCATTGATGATAAAAAAAAATTATTACGATCAAATATGTTTTGGTAATTAATTTTTTTCTATTTTTATTAAAAGAATTCTCATATTCATTAATATTTTGAGGAGAATGCAAAAAATAACAATTACCAAATTGTGATTGATTGATAAAATATCAATCACCATTTGATAATTTTTGTTTCCATTTTTTAATAAAAATAATTTGAATTTTTTTTTTTTGTCCAAAATAGAAATAAAAACCATTTGAAGGCTACGTCCAACAACACTGTGATAATTATAGCGATATAAACCGTTATTCTTTGCACAAAGAAATTCTTAATACACATAAAAATAAAAAATGCAAATGTTTAAATATCATGCTTGCTATCCATTTTACTTTCCTATGAAATTTCTAGGACAAATTATTTGCCGCTTATAAACACCAAGAAACTGAGTTTAATGTCTCTTCTCTTATATTATAGGAGATAAAATTATCTCTTATACATGTAAAAGTGTGCGGAGCACATCACGTGACCTTATATGGGCCCGCACTCACACATTTTTACGTGTATATAGAAAATAAAAATAATATTGCAAAATCTACCCGGAAAGACAATATTGTTTTCTCAAAAAACAAAGTGTGCAAACAAACGAGACTCTACCTCTACGCATTCTTGCAAAGGCCATTCAACATCTTGGATTTTTCCTGGTTCATCAACATATGCTGGCTTTTCTTGATGAACCATCGTAGGTTCCATTAAAAATTGTAAAGGTTCTTCAGAATTTTGAGCAAGACTCTCACCGCCAATATTAACGCCACTTTGAAATGTAGGTAAATTTTGTCGAGAAACAAGCCAGAGCATTATCAATAAAAAAAGAAAAAGAAAAAGAAAAAGAAAATGAAAAATTCATGAAGTTACCAAACCTTTCAAACAGCGTCGAACGTGTATATCCAAGAAATGCAGAACCTAGTTCGTCAAGTTCGCAATATGAAGAACGAGCGTTTTGATTATAAGTGTTGACAGACTGCTTTAGTGGAGATAAATTATTTAAACAAGCGAGTAATGGAAAATCCTGGAATGAAAAATGTGACGCATGTATGAGAGAAATTCATTATTCATCATCAATCTTCATATATAGTTGTAATGCGCTGACAATGCCATATGAAATGAAAGAGTGTGAAAGAAGAAAACCGGTGAAGAAAAAGTGAGAAATTAAGAGAATGAATTTTAGCTGTACAGAAGGGTGTTCTGACGATGAAGAGGAGAAAGAGATTTCCTCCCTCATGAATGCTTCAAGAGAATCCATTTCGTAGATGACACTGATAGAGAGTGTGTGTGCGTTACTCTGTCTGCCGTGATGAAATTTTAAATATATATGTAAGAAATTATGGATTTTTCTTTTACAACCTACTACGTTGTTGGATGAAAATCAAATCAGAGGTTCTCATTTGATATTATTTTATGGATAAGGATCATTTTTACACCCGTGAGAGGCTAATAAGGTTTACATCGCATCTCAATCTTTGATTTTCGTATATTCAACGGTTATAATTTAAAAAATCATACGAATTAATTAATTATTAATTACACTACAAATGACAATCGATGATTTCCGTGCATCAACGGTTGAGATACGGTATAAGACTTGTTAGTCTTACACTGGTGTAAAAATAATATCATGCTCTGTTTGACACGTGGCATTTTTGGTTCT